CTTTGCTTCCATCCTCCCCTACTTTTGTTCTGCACCTTGAGATGTATTTGGTAGGCTTGTTCAATACGCAATTCTACTGGACTCCTATCTGTTCTCATTATCTCAGGCTCCATTTACACTCAATGTACATTGCTTTCAACTGGAAAATAATACACACACATATACAATACACAATGAGGCAGCCCTAGCAACTGCTGGCCTGGATGGCTTTGTGAACAGTCACCAAGTCCTGAAACTGAGGTCTTCTGGTAGCCTACGGGGGATATATTTAAAACCATTACCTAGCTCCTTGTGATAAATCAGGCAGCTTATTTATTTATATGTGGATCTCTAAGGTGCTGGGCTGGGGGCATGGGTTAAGATGATGATTCACGTTTGATTCAAGGTGCTAAATATTCATTGTGTTGTGTGGCAGCCGTACCCTCGTTGTCCGAGTTCTAATGGGCTGTTGACAGTCACCCCTGAGAGTCTAAATTAGCTCCAGCTGGAGCCTGCTGGCAGCAGCTGCCGGAGCGCGAGTCCCTGCCCTACAGAGCGAGACTCGCTGAGCCAGCTGGGAGAGATGCTGTTCTGCTGCCACCGTTCCATCAGGTAACCTAGATCTTGGAGTGTGGTGGTGGGGGGTACCAGGGAAGGAAACTGCTTCTCCCTTTGCTGAAGGGGAACAGGGGGAAGGTGAGAGGATAGTTAAATGCATTGGTATCCCTGTCACATATACATGCGGGCTAGGCAGCTGGAGTGGTTGGTATGTGGGGTCCTTCCCTTGAAGGACAGAATCATAGAATAGAATATCAGGGTTGGAAGGGACCCCTGAAGGTCATCTAGTCCAACCCCCTGCTCGAAGCAGGACCAATTCCCAGTTAAATCATCCCAGCCAGGGCTTTGTCAAGCCTGACCTTAAAAACCTCTAAGGAAGGAGAAGAGGGGTGCACTCATCCTGCTCCTTCCGGAGCTCTAAACAAGCAAGGTTATGGCAGGAAACCCCATTTGGTTGGCCATTTCCTTTAGTGTTCTGTACTACAACCCAGAAATGGGGAAAGAAACAAAATTTGCTCCATGTTATAAGGCCTGCTCAGTACTGATGCTGTTCAGCACACCCTCTCTATTATAAAGTAGGAGTTAATGCAAAGATTTCAATCAAATGGTACCACTGGCCAGTCTTTGGGCTCGAAAACTAGACCCCTTCTTGCCCACTGGTGTGAATCCCCCACCTGTTAAAATGCCAGCCTCAGTGTAGCTGCGTCTTGCAGCCAGTTTTAAAGGCTGCCACGCTGGAGCTCTGGCGCAAGCGTTAGGAGTGAATTCCAAAGCCAGGGCCTCTCCACTCAGGCTGCCCCGCCACTTTGCGAAGAGAGAGACTGCCAGCTCTTCTCTGCTGCCCACTACCAGGCCAGGGCCTGGTCAGCCAGTCTTAGAACCTCATTTTAAGAGATGTGGTGGGTCCTGCTTGGGGAGTCTCTGTTTAGCTATTACTGTTGTGGGTGATAATATGCTGGGGTGGTTATCTTCAGGTCCTTGCATCACTTCTTCCAGCCCCCTTCATGGCACTCATGAAGTTAGAGGGTGCTCTAGTACAAGGGGGGGGAAGCCACCATGGAAAAAGAGACAAATCAGCTGGAGTGCCTGTAAACTCCTGCCCTCCACTAGGTAGAAGAGCAGAGCTGCTGAGGGCTTTTTGTTTGTTTCCCTTCAGGGACTGGAGGCCTGCAAAGGGTATAGGCCCAAATGTAGCTAGGGTGTCAGTGGAGTGACACCCCCCCCCCCCCAAGTGGGGAAATCCAGCAGAGAGAAATGTAGGCCCCGATACTGAAACCCAACCTGCACTGTGGGACTCACTAAAGTCAGGGAGACTGCAGGGGCCTACTCCTGTTGCATGGACTATGGGGTCAAGACCTCAGGTGGCAGGAATCAGGCCAGAGAGGAAGGATGGTTGGGGACTAGCTTGGGACTTGGGAAACCTGGGTTCAGTCCCCCGCCACAGACTCCATGTGTGACCTTGGGCACGTCACTCAGTCTCTCTGTCTCAGTTCCCCAGCTCTAAAATGGGGATGACAGCACTGCCCTGCCTCATGAAGTATTGAGGATAAAAGCATTAAAGTTTGTGAGGCACCTGGGTACTGCAGAAATGGGGGCCGTGTAAGCACCCCCACCCCAGCTAGACAGAATAACTGTCGGGTTTTTTTATCTTGATGGTTTTGCGCTTGCTGCTTGAAGGGCAGCAGAGTGGACTTGGAGGAGAGATCTCTGAACAAGAGGCAGGTGGCCAACTGAACTGGCATTGGGAGTTCATCCCATATATAGGGTGCAGCCTGGAAAAGGGCACAGAGGTGGGAGGAGGGAAAAGAACTGGACTGGCTACCAAGTCTGGCATTGTGGGTGGATTCCTCTGAAATCCATGCTGGTCTGAGTGGCATAGACAGGTTTTCTTGGCGGCGATGGCCACTGCCCCTGATGTTGGTGTTAAACCCCAGCAGTATCTAGTGGGGTGGGGATTGGAGTGAGGGTGTGGCAAGGCAGGCTAGATTCATGGCTGATGTTTTTAGGGGCACCTCCCAAGGGTGAGGTGGTGGAGATGCCCTAAAAGCGTCAGACTCGTTTAGCTGGTGCAGAAGGAAAGGTCCGGGAAGGAGCTCCCCCGAAAAACTCTGTGCCCTAGGTCGCCGCCTGTGTGGTCTATTCCTGGCACTGTCCCTGTTTCTTGGCACTCCTCTGGGATGCCCTGCCTTAGCCAGGTGGGGTGTTTCTGGACACAGTAGCACGCACACCTCATGTTCTCTCTCTTGCATGTCAGCGCAGGCCTGATACCAATAGGTGCTCTCGGTTCCCCTTTCTCTGTTTGAGGCTGTAAGTTTGCTGAAGCCAAATTAAAATGTTAAACAGAGTCATTCCTCCTGTGGCCCTGCCCTGCCCTTTGCCGCTGGAGTCAGCCGGAGCAGAATCGAGCCCTGTTCCCGTCGGAGGACATATGGGGTGGCTCTGAGGTCCTGTATGAATGGGATGGGAGTGCAGCTTTGAAACTCCCAGAGCGAGGAGGGTTCTCGGTATTGCAACATCAGCAAAATTGCTTCCGCTTTTCACTTGCTCTGGCTTGCGCTGCAGCCCAAGGAGTTGGGTAGGTTTCAGCCCAGAGGGCTTTTTGAGAGCAGCTGAGCCTTTTGGACCTTTCCCCTCTGGCCCGTGCTCATCCCTAGCCCCAGGCGAAGGAAACGCAGGAGGAAGTTTTGCACAGACTCACACTGAAGCGCCCTACCCCGTTCTAGAGCCTGCATAAAATATCACATGGTTATGGAAGGGAGCAGGACCGAGGGGCGTTATTTATCCTTCAACCCAGAACAATCCCTGTTGTTCCTTCCCACGTGGTGGAAAAATGGCTGAGGGAGTTCCTGCAGCAGGGCTACGGTTGGTTCATCTGTGGACAGCTGGAGAAGACAGACTGCAGACTTTTATTGTTACCTCATCCTCCCAACCCACCCTTGCTCAGCTTGTGTGTTTCATTTACTTTTATGGCATCCTATTTGACGTGTAGCTAGTGAGCCATCTGGGGTAGGGATTCTGCGTGGGGCTTAGCCCAGTGGGGCCCAAGCCCAGTGTTCCTAGGTACTACGACCACTATACACATCATAATAGACTTATATGTAGAAAACTGAGAGGACCCAGTGATTAGGCCACTAGCCAAGGATTTGGGAGACTTGCCTTTAATGCTCTGCTCTGCCACAGATTCCCTGTGTGACCGTGGGTAAGTCAATGAGCCTGTCTGTGCCTCAGTTCCCTGCTTGTAACAGGGGGAGGAGCACTACCCTGCCTCCGACGGATGTTGTGAGGCTGAAGACATTGAAGATTAGGAGGCTACGGTGCTAGGGGCCAGAAAAGCACCATTTTTAGACAGAAAATTTGTAAGGCCCTGCCCATGCCACATGGGAAAGGCTGTGAACCATAGATGAGAGCGGTGTGGGCCAAACTCCCTGGAGCTTGGGGGAAAAATCAGTCTTGGGAGAATCCCAGTAAAATCCCTGTTAGCTACCAACTCTAAGGATTTGCTTTCACTAAGAACCTCTACTCCCTCATTCCACTCAGCTCCCCACCCCCTCCTTACCTTGACATCAAGCCTGCTGTGGTCTTTGATTTCTTTCCCAAACCAGGAATATTTTCCTTCAGCCTGAGTTACAAAACCCCAGCCGTTAACTCGTATATCACGTCAGGGATCTGGCTAAAGCAGGGATCTCGTATTGCGATTCTTTTGGTGGGCCACCTAAAGTGGTCTGGACAAATCACTGCTGTGTAGTTTACATAGGGTTGTTCCCTGTGGGACAAACACACCTTTCCCCCCATTGAATTACTATGATTCTGGAGTACAAGGTTCACTTGAGCTGTGTAGGGTCCATAAAAAACCCACTGAGAAGCTACTATTTAGCTTGAAGGCAAGAGATTGGCCAACATATTTAAATTAGGTGACAGGAAATACTTAAAGACAGAAATGGCTATACAAAACTGAAGGTCAAGCAAGGTCCAGCATTGATGCAGGTGACCTGGTTTCCAGACGTGGGGAACCTCTGCAGCTCCCAGGGAAGTCAGTGCCGTTGTTTAGTCCAGTTGTTAATGAAATCTCAGTTAGAAATGAAATTCCCAGATGCTTGCAGAGAGAACAAAAAGAAAAGGGGAATTATAGAAGAAGGCACAGCCTGTGGCTTGGGCATGTGAATCCTGCGTGTTCAGGGCAGGGTGTCTCATGTGAGTCCAGTGACCTCGGTCGATGGGAGGATTTTGGAGCTCTTCCCAAAGGGGAGAGGAGATTGATTTGCATTGCTGGTTTGGGCTGAGGGAAGAGAGAGCCCGATCCAAAGCCCACTGAAGTCCAGTCCAGGCTAAAGACAGCAAACTCCTGCTTTTCTTCTGAGTAACCTCACCTCCTAGCAGAGGGGAAAGCCTGAACATCTCACTCTTACCTCTAACAGCATCCTTGGTGTGGTCAGATGCATTGTTTGGAGTGGCAGTTTGCTGACCAGAGGCAGTATTTCTAGATGAATGCCTCTGAAATCTTTATGCTACATCGTGCCCTGCATAGGCCGCGTAACTTTCGGAGACTGTCACAATGTTAACAGAACTATGTTTTCACATCCCTTCCACCGGGAAAGCCAGGCTGTATTAGGACGGTGACTCAGCCTGTTCTTGGAGGGTGAGAATGATGATGATTAATTCTGATGAACCTCCAATGCTAACTGAAAATAGCTTTTTTTTCTGCAAACTGTTTTGAGGTCTGATATCTCACAGTCCAGCAGGGCTGGAAACAGCTGCTCTATCCCATGAACCTGCATTGTCCTCTAATACCCCTTCCCCAAGCCTGAGAACAAGAGCCAGGTGGGAGGATGACTTGCAGGATTATCCCTATGCTGGGGATCACATGGACCCATTGCTCTCAGATTGTCTGGAAAGCCCTTCAAACCAGCAGAAATCTCCCGCTTTCATTAGTCCTTCCTGGCCCTGAGGGTTTTGCATAGCTTAGAGACCATGGAATTTCAGCTCAGAGAAGCTGCTTGTTAGAGACCCAGGTCTGCCCTTCTAAATCAGAATGCTAGCGTTTCTTAAGCTAATGGGCCCCAAACATTACAGCTCCCAGCTGCAGCATCATGAGCCATTGCCTGTGTGTGTGTGTGTGTGTGTGTTTTAAGTAAGGGTGTCTATAAAATTACCCTTTTTAGAGGAGGAGAAGAGCAGGAGAAACAAGTAGAACTGAAGGAGGTGATTTTTCAAAGAGAAGACTGGAAAAGGAACAGAAGAGAGGGGCTTCTCTCCTCCATTTGTCTGTCACCTCTCCATGCACCTCCCATCCCGTCTCATCCCCTCCACACTTCAGCTCTTTCCTTATCCCTTCTGACACGCCTACTTCCACATCCTCTCACCATCTATCCACACTCTTCTCTTGCTCTGTCTTCTTTCCACTTTTCCATTTTCCATTTCCACTCACCATTAGGTGCTAAACCCAGATTAAAATAAAAAGGACCATCCCTTCGGTGGGAGAACAAAGGAGTCTAGACGACACCCCCATACGTCATCCAATAATAGCTTAAATTTCATGAGAAGGTAATCATCATGAACATTCAAGGCAAGCAATTTGTGTCAGTTCTTCAGACCCTGGTTCAGCTGTGCTTTAAATGGTGTGACCCACAGGGTCAGTCCCAGACATTTGAGGAAATGAAAAATCTCAGCTGTGGCTGGATTCAATATCAGATAATTTTCCAAAGCCATTCATGTGTTCAGACTGGAGAATAGGCTTTAACTTCCAATCTAAGTATGCCTGAGCTTCGAGAAATGGTTCAAAATCTGAACCCAGAATTTCTGCCCTTGTGGATCTAGCATCCCTCTCCCCACATGCACTTTGGGGGTGTCAGACATCCAGATCTAGACCCAGAAATGAATTTTGCAGACTGGGCCTATTTCTTGATCAAACTCATTGCCCCTTTCCATCCCTCTTTCATTTCCTTTTTGACATGGACTCTAGCCCTGCCTCTTACTCTGAAGAGCATTTCTCACCCCTTTTCCTTAGTTGCATAGCTCACATGTTGTTGTAAAGAAATATGCATCAATGTCAGTGGGACTGTGTGGGATGGGATGTGCTATGAGACGGGGCCAGACCACTGTGTGGCACGCCTTAGACTGATGGGTGACTAATTGGTAATAACTGATTTTACTGAGTGACCTTCCCCCTTCAGTTCTGTCCATAAATGGACCGCACTAAGGGTCTGCCTGGTGCCTACCACAAGGGGCTCTTGGCCCTGCACATTAACCCTTATACAAGATGGGCCAGATTCTAATCTGGATTTTTACACAGATGTAAATCCAGCGTGACTTCAGTGGAGATACCCCTGTTTTACACCTGTGTAACTGAATCTGGGTCTGCCAGCCTCCTCTGAAATCCTTTACCTTGGAGGCGTTACATCTTAACCAACAGGCTTGTCACACAAGGTCAGTTAGTGTGTTAAAGACATTTCATATGCAGGGACTGGTTTGCTTGAGCCCTTTAAGGCTATGGGGTACCCTGGAAGCAGAACTTCTCGCTGTCTCTGACAGAACCGTACCGACTCCCTGTCTGTATTCTGTAAACTCTCCTAGTTACTGGGCATGGCTCCTCGTTGTTAGTGTGATGCTCTCTGAGGTGAGTGAGACCAGATTTGTTAGAAGACAGCTTTTGGCTTTGTAACACAGCATGACTCCTCTCTTTTCTACTGGGGTTAGCCCTTCTGTGGCAGGGAGTAGCAGGCTCAGAGGTCCCCTGCTAGAGGCGTCAGGGTCTGACCACACCCTGTCAAAGAAAGGAGCAGAGGAGTTGAGTCCTCCAACTGGCCTAGAGAGGCTGCAGGGGCAGGGGCTAGCCCATCAGAGGGTTGCAGGTTAGTATAAAAGGAGCTGAAGTGCAGACCAGAGTCCATTGCTGCCTTGAACTGGAGGAGCGTGCATGGCATTCCTGGTAGGCTGAAGGACTGCAGAACCACAAACAGAGCAGTTGCTGGCAGGGACTAGGGGAGTGAGAGGGAGCTCCTGGCTGGCTGTTGGGACTTGCTGTATGCCCTTCGGTAAGGGTGAAGCATATATGAAGGTGAACGGGCTGCAGGGAAGTGACCCAGGGAAATGTAGCAGCATCGTGAGTGATCAAAGGGATGCAGTGGGTGGCTGCTATTCATAGGGTCCTTGGGCTGAAACATGGAGTAGTGGGTGGGCCCAGATTCCCCATCATTAGCCATTGGGGAAGCAGCCTGAATATTGGACTTTGACACACCCCTGGAAGAGGATCTGAACTATTAGTGGCCCAGCTGGAGAGCTGGGGCCATAAAGGCCCAGAGAGGGCAAAACCATTGTCTCCAGGGAGGGAGCGCTGGGTACCAGCGCTGGGTACCAGGGCCGGGACTGGGTAAAGACTGTGAGACTGCTTAAAGACAGAGAGGCCTTGCGATAGGTCTCTGTTGGACTGTCTACCCTGGAAGGGGTTCATTTTGTTTGTGTTACCTACAGACTGTGTGGGATTCGGCTGAGTCACTGAAACCACTGACGGGTGTCACCAGAAACCGAGAGAGGTGCAGCCACGCACCCAGCCAGGGGACGATCGTCGGAGGTAGGTGTGATCCCATTACACCTTCACTTAAATTAATGCTCTCTGAAGTCCTCCCCTTACTCTCAGACATCAAGTCTAGGAGAGGCGATACTTTGTGGTCCTCATCTGCACAGCATATCATGTTTACCAGAGCTGCTCTGTTATGGTAAACTTTCAGTCTGTTCCTATGGACTGTTTGGGGTAAGCCCTGGCCATAGGGTTTCTGTACCTGGTACATGAGTTCATGTAGTCTCTCTCCCACCTCGAAAGGACCCTGAGTCCTGCATTTTATGCTTTTTTACAGGGGCTAACGCCAATACCAGATCACCCGTATCAAAGGATCTTTCACGTGCCTTTTGCCATGTCACGCTTTTTGTACAGTTTGGCTCTTTTCAAGGGTATGCTGTGCCAGCTCCATAATGGATTTTAGCTCTGCCCTGAATTTGAATACAAATTCAGTCACTGGCTCTCAATGTTACCTTCCCGTGAATCTCTGACCAGGTCTAGGGGACCTTGGAGCTTCCATCCATACAGGAGGTCAAATGGGGACAATCCTGTTGACTCTTGGAGTACTTTTCTGAAAGCAAACAATAGTTAAGGCAGTAGCACGTCCCAGTTCCTTTGCCTTCCTGTCCACACAAATTGTCAGCATGGATAGAAGTGTCCCATTAAATCTTCCAGCTAGCCCATTTGTTTCTGGATGACATGGGGCAGACCATCATTCTTGCCCCGCACCTTTTCCATGACTCAGAGAATACGTGGGACCTGCTAGCAAAGTCAACTACTACCCATATGTACTGTATGTTTTTCCATTTCTGGGCAGCTTAGGGGATGGACCCATAATGGCCGTGGGAACCCTGTGGAATGCTGCGCCAATTAGAAGCAATGGTTGCAACGAACTTTGCAGAGACTTCCCGTCTTTTTCCACTTTTGGCACAAGTCACAGGACTTACAATATTCCTTTATGTCCAGGATTATAGTGGGCCAATAAAAATCCCTCTGAAGCCTTTCAATGTCTCTCTACTCCTGGATGGCCAGCGAATGGCAGTCCTGAGCTACCCACAGTAACGCTGCCCTGTGCTTTTGGGGCAATAGGTGTTGTCCGTAGGGCTCCCTGGGGCCCTTGTTCCTTTCCCACTGGGGTTTCCCTAAATATCCTACGCTCTTCCCTATTATCCTCTGCAGGGGTGGTGCTATGCACTGCTTCCCTAATGCTCTTTAGGGAAGCGTCTGTGTCCTGACCGTTAACAAAAGCTCTTTGCAGGGCTGCTTCAGTGAGAGGAGCTGGTGCCCCTCCCTGGGAACGTGTCCCTGCCCAGCAAAGGGGCTTTCCCTGTCCCCTCAGTCTCTTCCTCCACTGGGCCAGGCAAAAGGGCTTCTCGGATGCACAATTTCCCATGGCACTGATATGTCATCATTTCCAGCCAAAGAGTCTGCAGGGATACCATCCCAAATTCCCACGGTCAGAGCATATGTCGCCCACTTCCACTCCAACTCTGCGTAGGCTCAGGGTGCTGTGACTTCCCAACTTTCCATAAAGAGGAGTCTGACATTTTCCCCTGGGAAGCATGTCAAGCTCTCTGAGCATCTCCCTTTTAACCTGTGCAATCTGCACAGCCGTCTCTCTCCAGGAATAGCATACCCTGCCATCTGCCTGTACATCCTCAATGAACATCTTGTCCACCTCCATAGGTTCAGACCTTACAAAGTTTACTAACACCCTCCTTACGTCCTGAGTTCACCATAGCTGTGTTAACCCTGGCAGGATGGGACTTGAGCTTGAGGCAGTATCTCCTCGTATGCTCGGTATAGGCATGTCCTTGGGCCTATGTCCTGGGCCAGAGGTTTGTAACTGGGTTACTTGGAGGGTACCTGTTTGGGGTATATTTGGCCTTGGCTTCCTCCCGTGAACAAATCTGGGCCTCTCTCCTTCCCTTTGGGGGTTTCTTTCAATCCCCAATACAAACCGGCAGCCGTCCGCGCTATGTCAGGACGCTTTTCCCATAGGGCAGCTCTGATTTCATCTGAACAAGCATTAAAGAAATGTTCCTGGGCGAATAAATCAACTAATTTCTCATAATCGCCTTCTGGCCCTTTACTTTTTGCCCAGATTTTCCCTATAATCCCACATTTTATGCATAAACTCCTCATGATGGATATTGTCCTGCTTCTCTAGGTCCCTAAACTTTACACGGTGTGATTCAGGAGTAATCTGAAACCTTAGTGGCACAGCTTGCTTATATTTATCATAGTTCATTGCTTCCTCCTGGCCCAAACCAGTGAAGACCTGGAAAACTTTACTGAAATGTTGGGGATCAGTAGAGACCTTTATTTGTCCTTAACCATGCCACTGGCCTGGCATGTTCTTACAAAAGCAGTTAAGTATCTATACAGGCTGAGTCTTGGCAAGGTGGACGCAGTCTGTCCCAGCTAGGTAAATGCTGGGGGTGGGGGTCGGGATTACCTGCAGGCTGGGGAATACCTTTCGGCTGCTCCAGCACTCTTAGCTGCATTTTATGTGCCTCCATCGGCTGCTGGTATGCTCACTCCTCTGCTTCCGTCGCCTCCATTCATCACTGGTGGGCCCGCTCCTCTGCCCCCTAGAGAGCTTTCTCCTCTTGCATTCTGAGCTCTGCCATCTGGAGGTCATATGCCACCTCGTCCCTGCAGAGCTGCCATCTGGCCAGCCCTGCAGGGAATAAGGTCTGGCTGGTTTCCCAGCTCTGGTCCATCTCCCTCATTCTATTCCTCCCGTTCAAAATACTTAGCACCTGATCCTCTGATTTCCCCCGGGGGAAGGACCATATTTCAAACATAAGATCCCATGCTGCTCTTTGTCCACGGTGTCCAAGCACGCTAACTGGCTCTCTTCCCCCTTTCCGTGTTCTGTTTCCCTTAACACAAAAGAAAATAATACACCTTGGACTTTGTTCCCTCACTTTGAATCCATTAGGGTCTGTTACTACAAGTGTTTGGCCTGGTTGCTGATAGTGTAACTTCTGTAACGACTATGCCCCTGGGATGTTTTGGGGATCACCCCGACCACTAAGGGGTTCTCCTTCGTAACTTTGCGTGCCTTAATGTCATGCTGCTAACGGTCAGAACTCTGACCCCAGTAGCCAGCCTATAAGCATAAGGGTCTCACCCTGGCTTCCACCTGCCTGGTGTCCCCAGAAGCCCTTTTGGTCCTGAGCTCCCCCAGATCTGTCTCCCTGAGTTCTTAACTACCAGACACCTGGACTTTTCCCTTCTGGTTCATCACCCCTGGGGGAGTAAAACCTGCCCCAACTTATCAGTCCCCATGGGGCTGAAGATTGCACAACAGGATAAAAATAAACAACAAGTTTATGTAATAGAAATGTTACCGATTCAGAGATGAAATAGTGCGGAAAAGCAAACCCAAGTTACACAAAAAATAAACACAAAGATGCAACCTCAGCCTTTACACTGCTGTATTAGCTCAGTTCCCTTTTCTAATACAAGCTACCTGTTGCCTCGGAACAGTTTCCCAGCATGCCCTGTGCCCTAGAGGGGAGCCAGTGTTTCGCAGGCAGCCCCCTCCTCAGATATTTGTGGATAGCCTTCACTTCAAAGAAACCCTTCCCTTGTAACAGAGGTAGCGGGTGTTTTCTTTCTCTCAGCCCATGGTAATTCATGGTTACACAGAGTGGGGGAAGCTCCCTCCTTCCTTAGTTTTCCAAGACAGGTTTCCTTGTCAGTGACTTTACATGAACTTTCATGCTCCACCATTGCCTTTCCCTGGATTATACAATGCTCAGTGCTTGGAGTTAGTTTCACGTCAACCACTCCCTGCCTGATTTGTCCGTCCCTCCCTCCCCACAACTCCTGCACGGTGATGCTGCATTGCATCTTGGTTCCAGTGGCAATGTTCTGTATACCTGCACACAGATCCCAACCTGCACACAGATCTCCTAATGGCCATCACATGCTTTCCCAAAAGACCTTACTTGACATCTCTTGCTACACAATAACATTGTAGACAGCCTGTTCATTCACTTGCTTATTCTTTGGGGTTCAGGCCCCCTCACTCTCCTCTTGAGGTGTCTGGATCCTGATTCTCACAGCATCTCCACCCTTCTCCCCACGGCGTCTGCAGACTTTTGGCGATGAGAAAGAAGGAGAGAGCTGAACCCAGAGGGATTTATTTAGTTCCTGATCCTGAGACTCACAGCAGGAAACAGCCCACTAATAAAACCAACAATTGGTGAAACAACTAAGGGTGATATAGTCAGTGCAACTTCCCCTTTTCAGGGTGGATACAAGAAGTCACCCGATGCACAGGCAGAGAAGGAGGAGAGGGCAGCAGTGAGTGTCCAGACAAACAGCTCCATCCTACCACCAGCTAAATAGCCAGATTCTAGCATTCAGTACAAGGGGCCAGCCTCAGCCATGGCAGATACGTACATCAGACACATTGAGCTGCTTGGCTTCGAGAAAAGGTTTTTTCCAAGCCAACATTATGTAAGTACTCGGAGATTGCACTGCAGAGCAATAAACTGAAGGTTTTTTTTTCTTTAGGTATAGTTTCCCTCTGCTTCGTTTTACCTTCAATTTTAAATAATACCTTGAAAGAGAAATTCTAAAAGTAAAATTCTGGGGGAATGCTGCTGCTCTTCTGAGCTGAGACAGCAGTCTGGATTGTAGTTAGAAATGTCTGTTCCAGACCTGAACACCCAAGAACATCAGGAGACTTTGGGTCCAGATCTCAGCTGCTTGGCTGATTACTGTCTTTGTAATAGGCTGAACCAAAATGCGGGGTGCTCAGAACCAAGAACTTTGGGGCAAATAGGAACTGAACGCCCTGGCTCACAATTGTCACTAGCTTTAATATGGAGGGTGTCACTGGGGGGTTTTGATCACTTGCCACTGTTGGAAAAGCAATTTTCCTGGCTCCCCGCTCTCCATTTCTCCCCAGTCGCTCTTGCATTTCTATTCTCTGACTAACTTTTTCAATCCCTAATCTTTCTCTGTATACAACAGAGCTAGATGAAATTTTTCAATCAACATTTTTTTTTTTGGGTGGGGAAAAAAGTTTTGCTGTAATAAAAATTTTCTGTGAAAACAGTTCTGCATTGATGAAATTTTCAATTTTTTTTATAAAAAAGATTTGAACCAAAATGAAAAAAATTGTCAGTTCATTCTGAATTATTGTCATGGAAAAAAACTGAAAATTTTAATGGAAATAAAATAGGCGTTTTCAACCAGTTTTACTTTTTTTTTTTTTTTTTTTTGTTTTTGTAGTTAAATATTGCCTCTACTCAACTGCCCCACAGCTGAGCCTCTACAGAGGTGGCTGATTTTCTTCTAAGCATCACAGGAGATGGTCTTCTTGGGAAGAGAGATGAAAGAGAATGGGACTTTAGCCTCATGGATCAGTTCTGGGGGGGGGGGGGCATTCCCTTAGTGGGGGCAGTGTGGAAGAAAGCACAGGGGTATTTGAGAGGAGCAGACAAGCAGTAGTCTAGACTGGCACCATGGGTAGTGTGAATGGGGGAGGGGGAGAGGGAAGAGTCCTATGTGATATTTGCTGAATGGCTATGTTTATAGGAAATCGATCCTTTGTATCATCCTGTGCTAGAACCTACTGTACTGTATATGCTTGCTGAGTTTTCTATGAATAGAGAAAAATGAGGATTGTTACTGACACAGATTTGGAAATAGATTGTAGCTAGGTATGTGTGTGGTGTTCGTTCCAGCAAACAAGAATATCTACCTGGCATCTCTTGGAAAATGGATCACAGACCGTGATTGTTTCTACATGGCGGTAAAAATTGGGGTCCCACAGGATAAACTGCAGAATCTGAACTCTGTTTGTTGTTCAATAGGTTTACATGTTCCTGGTGAAATGGCAGGATCTAACCGAAAAACTAGTCTATCGAAAATTTACGGAGATATATGAATTTCATGTAAGTCAACTCTCGGTTGGTATTGGTTCAGGCTAAGTCTGGCTTGCGGGGGCAGAGGGCTGGAGGAGCTTCAAAGGCAATAACGAAGGCCAAATTCTGTCCGTTTTGGAGAGTGCTATACAGATTGTGCTGGTGTGGTTATGAAGGCTTGCGGCGGTATTCTGTCTAGCTAGACCTTTATAACAGGCTCATCACTGTGGTACGGGAATGCCTACGCCTTTTATGCATGGTGAGGGAAGGTTCACGTGACTTCAATGGAAGTTGCGCTTATGTTTTCAGAACCATAATATAAAACTTGTAGCATTCAGTCTGGGCCAGCTGACCTCAGATCATATGCGATCTGATTTCCCCAGGAGAGGGACAGGAATTGAGTGGCCTAGATACCCCATTAGCCACTTAATTAGCAGCCTTTGCTAGGCTGATTTGGAAGAAGGCACTTATCCCTTTTTGTAGAACCTTCCAAGGGGGCCTTTGCCATTCACCAGACAGAGGAGTCTGGAACTGATTTTCTTTCTAGTGACGTTTTACTGCAGTGAAGTGAGAAGTTAAGCTGGATACAAACTGCCCTCGGGAGAACTTGTTACCACAAGGTACAGACGTCCTGTCCAAGGGCTTCCTGGGAGAGTGGCTTCTCTAACTCAGTATCCAGTGGCACACACCAGAAGAGCCATCTGCCGCTGCAGTCTATTGACGGTTTCAGGTTCACTTAATCATGAACGGTGTTTATCCATCTGTAACACCTGGATAACAATCCTTCCCTCATGAGTGTTGTGAAGCTTTATTCCAGTTTGGAAAGTATTCCGGTCCCCAGATGGAGGCAGACTATTATTTGATGATTATTTCTTTGCCTTTATTTACAATTTGTATTAAGAACTCAGTGTTAAAGGGTAAAACTTTCCCATTTTCAAAAGAGACTTAGGAGCCAAAATCTCAATGAAAGGCAATGGGACTGAGGCACCTAAGTGCCTAAAAGTCACTTCTGAAAATAGGACCCGGCTCCTAAGTCACTTAGGCACTTTTGAAAATTTTACCTAATGTCCTTAATGGGTGCCCAATTCTGCAAGATGCTGAGTGCCATCAACTCTCAGGATCTGACCTTTTAAAGCTAGCTACCTGATTTGTCACCACAACCAGCAAGCTAGCTGTCTAGGTGCTATAAAATGGGCTTGCAAAATTGAGCTCCCCATTGGATGCGCAGTCAGAGGCCAAAGTTGAGGTCTTTGGAAAACCAGGGCCTGAGTCTCTTCTACTGGTGTCCTCGATCTGAGCCTGAGGGATGAGCACTCTAGGAATCGGATGGAATTTTGCCTGGATATGCTGACTGGACTGTGCGCCTAATACTGGTTTCTCTTCTCATGTTAGAAATCCTTGAAGGAAATGTTTCCCATTGAATCTGGGGACATCAACATTGAGAACAGGATCATCCCTCACTTACCAGGTAAGTAGATGTATAGAGCAGCCACTCTCTTCAAAGCAGGAAGCTGGAATGAAAAGGGACGGCAGCCCCTCTGTAATATATCTGCATACACACAGACACCAGGGTCTTCAGTGGGGATGGGACCTGAGACCTTTAAAAGTATACACACAAAGAAAGAGTACTAGTGGCACCTTGGAGACTAACCAATTTATTTGAGCATAAGCTTTCATGAGCTACAGCTCACTTCATCCGATGCATGTAGCTCACGAAAGCTTATGCTCAAATAAATTGGTTAGTTTCTAAGGTGCCACGAGTCCTCCTTTTCTTTTTGCAGATACAGACCAACACGGCTGCTACTTTGAAACCTGTCATTAAAAGTATACAGTAACTCCATTAGGTGTAAGTAGCAGACTGTTGTAGTAACTGGAACTCTCCACTGGAGGAAGATGTGACTAAATGAACACCCACCGCAGGTGGCTTGTTGTGTATTTCCTGAAGTGTAGGTGATCAACTCTAGAAAAACACAATACAGCTGCAAAGTGTCCCAGTGCTTTTAGAGGCATTTTAGCAGAATCGGGAGGTGCTTTTAGGTGAACTGACAGGCTTCTGTTTGAAACAAACACAAAATTACTGTAAATAAAACAGTCACTTCACATACGGTTTCAGATCACAAATCAGTAACCGCCTATAGCCTATCCACTTCTGGCAGATGCAGGGAAAGTGGTGTAACTGCTCCCCATTAATGTACACTCATTTTCAGTCCCAGCCACTTCTCCCTCTTGCAATTTAGGGATGAGATGAGCGACTGCTGTAAAGACCCATGTCAGCCTAAGCACCATCCTTGGCAGGCAGAAAGCTTTCCAGCTCTCATGGTTACTTGTTAAGGCAGTGGGAGTCAGGAGATCTGGGTTCCATTCCCAGTTTTCGGCAAGTCATTGCACCTCTCTGTGTGCCTCAGTTTCCCCTTCACTGTAAAACGGGGATAATGCTACCTATCTCCCTCAGAGTGATTATGAGGAATAATTTATGAATGCTTCTGAGGCAATGCATGCACAGAAATAGCCGTTAACAATACTTCCTTGGGACTACCTGAGTGAATAAGTGGAGCAGGATTTAGAACTCAATCAAGCTTACACAGAAATCAAGAGGTATTTGCCCATGGACTTTACTGGGAGCTGGATTTGGCATTAGTCCCTATCGCTGATCTGAGTAACCTTTGGGTAAATGCAAACCTACTAAGTGCCATTGGTTGGGGAATGCCCCCAATGTACTTTCCCCTGTCCTCATAAGGAATTTTACACACGAGTAGTTTCTCAAAGAAGATTTCACTTTGCTGACATTAGTTACTGTAATAGCTGTGGTGGGTGGGGTCATATTTCTCTGTCAGCATTTGTTGCTCTATTTTTAATGAAGAAATCCCTTAGATATGAGGAACACCCAACATCGGATCAGTTGGATTTAGCAGTGAAAGGTGGTGATCGTAAAGGGAAAGATGAAGTGGTATGTTTGTCTGCCTCCTGTCCCGGTGCATGAAAATTCTTGGCTCTGTTGCAAAGTTGTTGCTCTGGTCAGACTGCAGCGGCTGTGTCTTGGTTTTGCTGAAAGGCCCCAGAAACAACATCTGTACATTTGAGGAAGTTGTAAGATCCACCAGCATAGCCAGGAGAGCTGCTTGTAACACTGATAGCAGTACTGGTGAAACACAGGAGTCGCTGAAATTATGAATGAAATCCCTTCAGACCTTTCTGAGCAACACGAGCAGGAAAAAATCGTTGTTCCACTTTTCTCAATAAACTGAAGAAACAGACAAAAATCTTCATTAAGAAATAGTTAATAGTATGTTGGGAAGCCACGGCTGCAGCTCTGCCCTGTTGTCTTACATATGGCCTGTATAGGTGCAGAATAAACAGCAGGAAACCACTCTCCATTATAAGATTTAAAGGACTCGCTGGAGAATTACAATTGCCACAGCAATGTGCTGTCTTTAATGTGCCATATGTTGCACAAGACACCAAATGAATATAAGCCTGACCCAGAGAGCTTGAAGCCTGCCGTGTTGTCTGTGCCAGGATAGGCATGAAGTTACTAGTATAGCTGAGAATGATGGGAGCGGCTAGGTACTGAGCACATCTGAAAATCTGACCATTTAGGTGCCTATGTGGTAGCAAAGCTCTTTGGCCGTGTGGCCCATAGAGTGCGGGAAGGAAAGACAGTCTCTGGCTAGGAGTAAATACATGCTGATGGGTGGGAACCCTACAGGTTAGAAGGGAATTTTCTTGGCTTCCACCTACACAAATAAACTACAGGTTCCCATAACATTTGACAGCATGGTACTGAGGTGACCTTCAAAAGACCTACATCAAGATAGACCTTCATTTCCCTGGAAAGAATGAATCAAAATGCAAACTGCACCCCTCCGTAACAGTGCTGAGATTCATTCTTCTCTGCCTGCCACCTGAACGCAGTAACCACCAGTATATTTACAGTGCTCATTTGCCTAAAGTCACATGGGTGTGCTCCAGAAAGAGCACATAGTAATAATGATTTGAGGAACTGAAAGAATTTCCCTTCTTAATGGGTGAAGTTAGTGGTTGCACTGGATTGTAACTTATGCATGCACCTGTATTCTTCAGAGCGCTCAAGACAATGTACTGATCATTTCATTACCTAACGCAAACATGCTGGGTGAGGTGAGTCAAAATTTCAGGAAGATTAATTTCCTTGTATTATCTCCACAGTTCGTTTATTCTCTTGCTAGCTTCTGCCAAGAACTTAGCCCAGCCTCCCTGCTGCCTGTCTTCCTACTGCAGAGTTAAAGAATTAATGCACATGCTCCTATCTCCTTCTCTCCCCGCAAGCCCCACCTTTCTCCCATCCTGTGTGAACAGTCTGTAAGCAACATAATTATGTAACAACGAATTATAGTTCAGCCTGACCTGTCCACTCCTGGTCATCTTCTGGTTTGAGGAGGTTTTTTCCCCCTCCAATTGATTAAATTGGATTATTAAATCCGAGAGCTGTAGGCTTCTGTTCAATAGGTGTAGGGCTCCTCTTAACAGGGCATCTCCCATCGCTAAGTCTGAGGCATGATCACTGCTGCTAGCGACACATGGCAATTCAACGGTGCATGGAAGCGAGACGAAGGATGACCCTACTTAGAGCACTACCTGGGACTTGGAACACCCGGGTTCAGTCCCCTGCTCTGCTACAGACTTCCAGTGTGAACTTAGAGTTACCCAGGCCTGGTCTACACCGGGAGCTTACATTGGTATTGGTAGGTCTCTTGTGGGTGTGAAAAATCCACGCCCCCGCAAGATGGGGGGAGGGATAGCTCAGTGGTTTGAGCATTGGCCTGCTAAACCCAGGGTTGTGAGTTCAATCCTTGAGGGGGCCATTTAGGGATCTGGGGCAAAAATTGGAGATTGGTCCTGCTTTGAGCAGGGGGTTGGACTAGATGACCTCCTGAGGTCCCTTCCAACCCTGAGATTCTATGATTCTATGTAACTATACTAACCTTGGGTGAAAACAGCGCAAGATGGACGGAAGAATTCTTACGTTGATCAGGCGACCGCCTCTCAGGGAGGTGGATTACCGATGCTGACAGGAGAGCCCCTTCCGTCAGCGTAGGTGTGTCTAACGCTGCAGCTGCATTGCTGTAGTGTTCTAAGGCTGGACCTCCCCTTAGCCTCTCTGTGTCTCAGATCTCTGCCTGCCAAACGGTGGTAATAGCACGGTCCTGCTGCATAGGGAAGTTGTTCGGAATTCAGAAGTGGTATGGGCCAGTGGTTAGGGCACTCAACTGGGGTTGGGGAGACCCAGGGTCACGTCTCTGTTCGGCCGCATTCTTCCCGGGTGACGTTAGGCACGTTACTTAGGGTAGGTCACCGCTTAAAACGCTGCGTCGGCACTGATGCAGCTGCGCCACTGGAGTGCTTAAAGGACGATGCTCCTACGCCGACGGGAGAGCTTCTCCCCTGGGCGTGGTTACTCCGCCTCCACCTAGCGCTGCCTACAGGGGTGGAGGTAAGGTTGGTATAACGATGTGGCTCAGAGGCGGTGGTCAATATTTTTCCTTCTCCAGGACTGTGTTTATAAAGCTTCAGCCTGCGCTGCGATAATTAAAGAGAGAGGGGATCTCTCCGCCTCATATAAATGAAGCAGGACTGTTTAGAACAAAGGCTAATCTAAATTGAGGTGGGCTTACCCCGGTGATGGGCTGTGGGGATTACATTAGAGCTCCACAGCGCTAACATGGGGTCTTCCTCTTGTGGTCTGTACAGCGCTCTTCGTCAGCCCGTTCCCTCGTGGGGGCTGGAAGTAATCTGCTCAGATTAGCACTCTCTCCACAAAGCTGCTCTGTCTGTCTTCACTGCAGAGCTTCTGCTTAGATCCAGGGTGTGCAACTGGCTGCCGCTGGGCTTCTGCTGCCGGCTTGACAAAAGGAGGAACTCTGTGTTCCGGCAGCAGAACTTCTTTAAAACTTAGCTCTGTATTGACAATGGGCCTTTCAACATGTTTGCCAAGGACACGTTCTTCCAAAGCACCCTTGGGATGTAGCTGCACGGATGGCACCCATTTGATGTCAGCAGTAGCCACTGCTTTCAAAAATGTCCCCTGTAGTGTCTAAGGATGCTTTGAGATGCTCCCAAACTCCGTTACCTTAGGAGGGAGCAAGAAGCCATCTGACTAACAGTCACTGTAGATTAGAACCTTTTGGGTTCTCCTCAGCTCTTTTTTCAGGTTGATATTTGGTATCAAGGTGACCTCTACCGAGGCAGCTCTCCCAAAAGCGCTGGACACAAAAAATAAGTCTCCCTGGTTTTGCTCTTTTCTAGCACCCAAATGGTTTGATGGCCAGCGATCTACACAGAACAGGCAAGGCACGCTGACTGAATACTGCTACGCCTTACTGAATCTGCCACACAAGATTTCCCGATGCTCCCATGTTCTGAACTTCTTCAAAGTCAGGCCTGATGACTTGAACCCACCCACAGACAGCCAGTGAGTATGGCCACTTCCACAAGAACTCAGGGCATCTTAACCACTTAAAAATCCAGTCTAGGTATTTTTCTATGAGATCCGCTCTAGTTGAAACAGGAATTAATGCAGGGAAATTCTGCAGCCTGTGTTAGGCAGTGGATCAGACTAGATGATCACAATAGTCCCTTCTGGCTTTATAATCTATGAATCTAACTCAACTTGATGTTAAATTTGTAACATACACATTTCTATGCAACTTCCTTATGTTTGTCTTTACCCAAGTGAGAATGGGAAGAATTCTCATCCACTCAATTGCTGATGTTCTGATTAACATGATCGGATTCCTTATATTAATATAATAGGAGACTAACATCCTAGAACATATAAATAATATGATATGATATAATATATTACATAGCCAGAGCACTAATAACAGCTATAGTTAAGGTTGCCTGCACATTTCCATTCTAAACTCCTGTTTTCAGGTCAAATTTTCAGAAAGATTGAGTGACTATCGGACTGAAGTATTTCAGGCCTGGCCTCTGCCCAAAGAGGAGGTTATTTTCATTGTTGTATTGCATAGGAATTGGGTACTATCTCTTTAAATAGTTGGTGAGCCCTCTAATGGCCTTCCCTGTCTTCTAAGGGTACATCTACACTGGATCTGGAGGTGCAGGGATGATGGCCAAGATGGTCAGGGATGTAACCCCATGCTCGGGGCGACCCTAAACCTCTGACTGCCAGAAGCCAGGAGGGGAAAACGGATGGATCTTTCCAAATTGCCCTGTTCTGTACACTCCCCTGATGCTCTGGTATTGGCCACTGTCTGAGACTGGGTACTGGGCTAGATGGACTATGGGTCTGATACAGTATGGCTGTTCTTATGCTCTTTGTATGGAGGGAAGGGAACCCTGTTGCTGATAGGACCAGGGAGAAAACAAAGGGTCAGCATCCACTGGCATTAAACTGACTTCATTCTTGTTTATCTAGCATCAAGAAACCAGAGACATATTTAGTGCCAAAGGACTCCAAGAAAAATGTCGCAGGTAAGAAGAAGTTGTGGTTTTTATTCTGATGCTCATAAGCAACCGTTCTAGCCACAGTGAGCACATGGTTCCATCAGCACTGTGGGAAAATATCTACAGAGGGAGAATAATCTCCAGGGTGGGACAGTGTTCAGCACAGGGCACCAGCTTCCTTGCCCCTTGGTACAGTAGGGCTGGCCCTGCTGCAAGGCAGATATCCTCAGCCATGGGGCAGGAGGTGCCAGCTGCACACAGAGCAGCACGGCCATCTCTGAGGAAGTGGCTTGTAGGGTGGGTGTAGTGAATTGAGAAACTGCTCCTGGAGTGGTGAATGGAGGGTTCCATGCCAGCCTAGAGGAATGGCAGCCCCAAAGCGGGTCCAATACAGACCCCACTGTGGCACTAAGTGCCAGACTCATGCACCCGGAAGGAGTCAATGGGGCCTCCAGGCCATGCTCTCACCATACATGGGCGAATGCATTGTATTGGAGGTTGCATTCCGGCAGCACAGTCGACCCTGATCCAGCAAAGCACACATGCCCAGTAAGGATATATTGAAACACGTGCTTAAATTGTTTGCAGGACTGGCGCCTTATGCCACAGTCGCATTATTTCTTGATAGAACTCAACAGAAACCAAGTTCCTCTCTTCATGCTTGGGGCACCCTACAGAGCATTGATATGTTGCCCTCTCTCCTTTTGTACATAATACATGTTCAGTCTAGACGCTTCCCGTGCATGACTGGAGTGGGTAGGCGAGGTCTCCTTGAAAGTCAAATCCATTCTCCTTTACTTGTAAGGTTTCAAATCTTCAGCCAGGGGCTTGCTCGGCTCGTGGGGCTGCCCATCCCTTCTGCAAATGCCATGAGTGATGGCAACCTGTGATGGGCAAACCTTTTTTGGGACACTTACGCAACATGCTAAATGCTACTGCTTGCTCACTGTGCTGTGAATACAATCGTTTGGGGTCCTTAAGCAGCAGTGGCTGTCTTGCTAGTGCAGTTATCGTTCTTGCTGCTGTTTTTCTTGATCCTTGCTAGAGGAACTCCAAGAGCATTGCCGCCGAGGGCAGTGAGAACACCAGAACTGCGACCCCTTAGGAATTGAGAAACTTTTGGACTTTCCACTGAGGTTCTTTGGAGTTTCCCTGACTTCTCCCCGGGCGATCAACAGAACTGTGCTGGATGGAAAACGATGACAGGAGCTCCTGAAATTCTGTCCCCGCTTTTCTCTTGCAGACATTACTGGCCCCATCATCCTGCAGACTTACCGAACGATTGCAGACTATGAGAAGAACTCCGGCTCCGAGATGGCTCTGAAAACTGGGGACATGGTGGACGTTGTGGAGAAGAGTGAAAGTGGTAAAGCCCATTGCTGTGGAGGGCTGCTCAGATCCAGCTTGTTGTTTCAGCCCATTGTAGAGACAGGGATTTTGTTTTGGGCCTATCTCTAGATCTGCAGAGCCGCTTTCACAGAAGTAGCGAGGCCTAATGGGTTGGGAACAGGCCTGAGCGCTAAGCACACTTGGGTTCCCTTCCTGATTCTGCCACTGACTCATTCTGTGACCGTTTTGTGGGCGCCAGTGCTGAGCCCCCAGCAGAGGCCAAGTGGGGAGGCAACATGCCTTTCCAATTGCTTTGGGCTGTTAGGGCAGCAGGGATAGCTGGGATGGGGGAATCTCTGCACCCACCTCTCTGCTGGAGGTACCCCCCCAGGAAAGCCTTCTGGCTGTTTTGTGGCCACTGTGCATAGGTGATGGAACTAGGGGTGCTTGAAGTGCTTTCCATCATATCCAGGGTTTACAGTGTGGTTCAACGGCTCTCGGCTCCCCCACTGTATGAATTGTTCCAGCCACTCTATACAGGTGCAACCATGGCAACATAGCCACATTGCAGGGAGGAATTCCTCCCAGTGCATCTGTAAATCAGAGCCCCTGCCTCCCTCCTGAGGGGTGGCTGAGCTAGTGAAAGCTTGCACGGTGCTTTAGACCCGCAATGTACTCGATGTGTGGACGGGAAGCTCTTTGAGGCAGGGGCCATCTTTTTGTTCTGTGTTTGTACAAACACTGAGCACAGGAGGGCTCTTGTCCCAGGCTGGGGCTCCTGGGTGCTACAGCAGGACAAAGAGATAATAATAAGGGAGTAATTAAGTGAGCATCTGTATATCAAAATGTGTTTTAAGAAATTCCGTGCCCTAAGTATGGAAGCTGAGAGCATTTATATATACACACAATTATGTAAAGACAGCAAGCACTCTATGATCACAATTCTGTCTTGAATGAGGAAAACGGGGAGTCACATGGTAGGGGACATCTCTTAGTGAGGCTGTGATGCAATCCTAGAAAGCCCTTTGAGCTTTCCTCATGACTCGTGGGATTGGTGCCCAGCAAGGAAATAACCTCCTAAATTTACGGTCCATATGGTTACAAAACAAAAGTGGTCTTCCCCTTTCCTGTTGTCATGGTAATTGACACAAAGAACCACTTATAAACCATGACATACAGGAGCTACTCAGGGAAACACTGAGGGCTTCCCTTCCTGCACAGTCAAGTCACTGTGAAGTGTTCAGAAGCAGATGCATGACTTATTTTTACGTACACAGTAGCCTCTTTACCCCGATGATCCTTACAACAGCTCTTCCCTGTCCCCCTTCCACTCCTTTGCATCCTATTGCTTTCCACACAGAGGCTCCTTAATGACCAGTCCAGTAGTCAATTAAAAGATCCAGAGTTTGGGTTTTGTTAGGTTGCCTTCAATGTTTTCTAGAATATTCTGGAACAGCTACTTTGGTAAACTTCCAAATGTAGACAGGGCCTTAGGGAATCTTATCAAATTTTATAGGCTTGGAAGCCATGGACAGTTCCATTTATACTGCTGATGCTTCATTGGTAGGAGAGGCACAACAGTAACCCCTGAAGATGAATATCAAGATAGGTTGTCCCATGGTTCTGCGGTTTAGTTGTCCCACAGTTAAAGAACAGGGCCAGGAGGCCTGAATTCTCTTCTCCGCCCTGCTAGTGACTGTGTATGACCTCAAGGAAGTCCCTTAACCTCTCTGTTTCTCTCTTTCCCCTCTCTCTCCGATGTGGTTAATGACTCCCGCCCCTCACTCACAGGCCTGCGCTGAGAGTTTATTTGTACAGGTTTTGGAGATGCAGCCTGTCGAGTACAAGGCATTACAGTGAATGGTAAAGTCTGCTGTGCTGGCTTTGTTACAGGCTGGTGGTTCTGTCAGGTAAAGAATAAACGTGGGTGGGTCCCAGCCGCTTACCTGGAGCCTATGGAAGGTCCTGATGAATCTGAAGAGCAGGATCCGAACTATGCAGGTAAAAAACCCAAACCCCCACCAATCGATCCACGCTGGACATCTCCATGTTCCTGACCAGGCTTCTGGAGTAATCCTAGAAGAAACTGCACTTAGATGATCCATCTCAGAATGTACAGTGAGCCAGTATGTGCTAGGGCTGGACTTCAGGAGCATAGCCAGTGCAGTGTGAATTCCCACGCAGTGGCACTATGATCAATGACGCTTATAGTTTAGGTTCCTCACTACTGACCTCAGGAGCTCCCAGTAACCTGAGACTCCACACTATAGATGATTGTTCAACTTCTAGGAATTGTTGCAGGGTCTCTTTTGTATTTTTGCTGGTGGCTACTATGAGACAGTTGCACATATATTTCATTAACGAGTTAGTACATAAGCAAGGTGTGGTATGGAGCCTCAAGAAAGAGGGAGGCCGGAGAGGGTCAGAGATGCTGTGGATTTGGTGCTCTGTAGTTCCCAGACTGACTGGCTAACACAGGCAGGATCCCTCCAAGTCCTTGTCTGGAATCAAGACCCTTGGAAAGGCTTTTTTCTAGTGAAAGATGTAACAGGTTTTTTTTATTAACCTTCAGTGTTCACATCCATAAGGCATATCTCACACAACAGAAGGTAAGTTATCGTAGGCTCATGCTTCTTTGCAGTAACATCATATTTTGGTGGTTTTTGAAAGATTGTAATGGCTTGAACCAGCATTGCACTTCCTTGTTCCTCATTGTGTCCTTGGAAGCTCAATTACTGGACTACTATTCAGCATTGCTAAATGACTCTCCCTGCTTTTGTTGACTGCTTCTAACTAAGTTGGAGGTCTTGCCATATTGGCTCAAAACTAGAGAGGGGCCCAAATCCAACCCCAGCACTTGAACCTCCCCAAACTTTGGGGAAGTCCAGATCTGGATCCAAACTATGCAGCTTAGAGTCCCAAAGCATCCTGGGTCTTGTTTAAAATGGGATACATTGTTTGCGTGTTGTCTCTGTCATTCCAGAGCTGTGGTCTGGATCACTGAAGAGCCTTTTCTTGGATATTAACACCTAATGCACCCTTTAAGCCTTTGTTTCTATTATTTTGTGCTCAGGGGAGCTCTATGTTGTCAGAAAAGGCTACACAGCTGCTGAGGATGATGAGCTGACACTGAAAGAAGGAGACACCATAGAGGTTATCCATAAGCTACTTGATGGCTGGTGGGTTGTCAGGTAAGAAAAATCCAAATCACATGTCAGGATAAATCGGATTTGGTTCTTTGGGCCACTCTGGGGGAGGGATAGAGAGAGAACCTGGCCATTCAATCTAATTACCGACATGAATTATAGGGTGGTTGTTATAGATGAGGCTGGTAGCATCACCCATTATTAAGGTCGGCTAACACTTCCCATTATAAGACCCTGTTTTCAGTTGTTTATAATTTTGCCAAACTTTAATCATTTGGGCTGAAATTTGCCATGCTAGGTGTCTGCCTCAGATAGATTTTTTGGGGGCGGAAGGGTGGAATTTCAGCCCAGACATTGAGCTGTTCCCAAGAATGAGGCTGGGGAAGAATACATTGATTCCCCACCCCCTCCGTATTAAACTGTTTGGGAGACCTTTTCCTTTAAAAGCTTTCGTGCCCCCATGCTTTGGAGCAGGACCTTGAAACGTGTGTCGCCTTTGTGTCAGGGATGTGCCTTTTTGCCATCCCCGTGACAAACTGGGCCAAGTTATAAGCCTTTCAAAACTAGCAGGTGGCACTTGCTCAGTGGAGACTTGCTATCGCACAGCTAGAAGCCCTGAAGATTCTGTTTACAGTGAGCCTATTCCAGCCTCATTTGAGCAGGACTTCCCCTGAAACTGCAGCTCTGCTGTGGGTCATGCTGGGGCAAGGCATAGGAATGGAAAGCAGGGAGGCTCTTTCTCAAGTATTTTCAGTAACCCTGCGGCTGGCGCCAAGTTGCATGGAGAAGGAAGCTGCCCAGGGGGAAAAGGGCCGAGGGGGTGGGGTTGAAGAAACATGAATATCTAGCTTCTCAGAGGGTGCAAATCACAACTGGGGCTGATGGCTGGTGAGGAGCTGAGGGAGACAGGGACCTGCTGGGCAAGGAGAATGGGACTATGTGGGAGGTGGAGAATAAGATCTGGCAAAGAGACAGAGTTTGGGGGAGAACTGAACCTGACTTGACAGCGTGGGGAGGGAAGACTGGACAAGGAGACCAGGGAGGGAGGCTGGGACTAGGAGCCAGTAGGGAGAAAAGCCTACAGGGAAATTAGTAATTCTGTCTTCAGAGCCAGGTTTGAATCGTGTGCAGTAAACAAGGCCTAGCACCACACATTTGAACAACACAATACTGAATAGCTGCTCATTCAGTGAGCACCGTCCATCTGTGCACTGAATGAGGCAGGGGACTGTGGGAAAAATAGGATGTCAGCACCTAATTATCAACTGTATTGTATATTATATTGCATTTGGGAGTCAAAATTAAGGCTGCATAGGCCATCCTAATTCTGGCAATTCCTAACATTTGTGTACATGGCTTTGCAACCTTAGTGATGCTCTTCTAACAAAGTGTGTGTGTGTGTGTAATGATCTATTGTATGCCATAGAATTAATGGTACATTGAGATGGATTCTAGCCAGCTAATTGGCTAACGTTTAGGGCATTGAAAGCACCCACTACATGCTTTTTGAAACTGTATCACCCAATCCAGAGAGATGTCCTGTGTGCTCTGATCAGAGACCTGTGAACCAGGAATGCTGGCATTCTAATGCGGGCTCCTAATACCCACTACTTCTATGACCTAGGGCAAGTCACCTAACTGCTCTGCCCTGGTTCCTCACTTGTAAAATGGGAAGGGTAAAAGCCACATCACAGGCACGTTGTGAAGATAATTCATTAGTTAATGGTTACAAACAATGAGGACGTAAAGTGTGATAGAAGTGCCAAGTATTGTAACTGTCCATGGGGGTAATGGGTGGTGGTGGTGGGGGGGGAAGCTGTTGGTTTGCTATAGCAATCCTGGTGCTGGGCATTTTCTGCTATTGTTAATCAGCTGCGTTGTCCCATAGAGCATCAGCGACTCCCTGGTGGTCTTTAAGCCTCAGGCAATGCTTTGCACCTTAATTGTTACTGCTTAAAACATTGCTCATGGTGTCTTAAAGCGTCTGTTTTATTTAAGGACTTAGTGCAACTCCCTTACAAGTGTAACCCTTCTGCCTGTCAGAGTTGGCAGCAACAAGGGCCGGGTTCAATATCTAGGGGATCCATTCCAATAACACAATGCAAACCGGCTCGAGCCCCCACCCAGTGACCTGGGACAAATATATACCACCCCTGCTGGGCGCCTCCAAGAGGCAATACTTCCCCTCTCACAAGCACATAGTCTGAGTGTAGCAAAAAGCCTTTTAATAACAGAGAGAAACAATGTGGCATTATGATGGGGAAACACCACCAACAGGATTCATAACACAACCCATGAGCAAAAAAAAACCCACCCCAAGCAAATTGGGGCATGCCCCTTTCCCTTTGGTTCTTGAGTCCAGCAACCCTGACTAATCTAATCGCCTTTTATGATGAGATTACTGGTTCTGTGGATGAAGGGAAAGCAGTGGATGTATTGTTTCTTGACTTTAGCAAAGCTTTTGACACGGTCTCCCACAGTATTCTTGTCAGCAAGTTAAGGAAGTATGGGCTGGATGAATGCACTATAAGGTGGGTAGAAAGCTGGCTAGATTGTCGGGCTCAACGGGTAGTGATCAATGGCTCCATGTCTAGTTGGCAGCCGGTATCAAGTGGAGTGCCCCAAGGGTCGGTCCTGGGGCTGGTTTTGTTCAATATCTTCATAAATGATCTGGAGGATGGTGTGGATTGCACTCTCAGCAAATTTGCGGATGATACTAAACTGGGAGGAGTGGTAGATACGCTGGAGGGGAGGGATAGGATACAGAAGGACCTAGACAAATTGGAGGATTGGGCCAAAAGAAATCTGATGAGGTTCAATAAGGATAAGTGCAGGGTCCTGCACTTAGGATGGAAGAACCCAATGCACAGCTACAGACTAGGGACCGAATGGCTAGGCAGCAGTTCTGCAGAAAAGGACCTAGGGGTGACAGTAGATGAGAAGCTGGATATGAGTCAGCAGTGTGCCCTTGTTGCCAAGAAGGCCAATGGCATTTTGGGATGTATAAGTAGGGGCATAGCGAGCAGATCGAGGGACGTGATCGTTCCCCTCTATTCGACATTGGTGAGGCCTCATCTGGAGTACTGTGTCCAGTTTTGGGCCCCACACTACAAGAAGGATGTGGATAAATTGGAGAGAGTCCAGCGAAGGGCAACAAAAATGATTAGGGGTCTGGAACACATGACTTATGAGGAGAGGCTGAGGGAGCTGGGATTGTTTAGCCTGCAGAAGAGAAGAATGAGGGGGGATTTGATAGCTGCTTTCAACTACCTGAAAGGGGGTTCCAAAGAGGATGGCTCTAGACTGTTCTCAATGGTAGCAGATGACAGAACGAGGAGTAATGGTCTCAAGTTGCAGTGGGGGAGGTTTAGATTGGATATTAGGAAAAACTTTTTCACTAAGAGGGTGGTGAAACACTGGAATGCGTTACCTAGGGAGGTGGTAAAATCTCCTTCCTTAGAGGTTTTTAAGGTCAGGCTTGACAAAGCCCTGGCTGGGATGATTTAACTGGGAATTGGTCCTGCTTCAAGCAGGGGGTTGGACTAGATGACCTTCTGGGGTCCCTTCCAACCCTGATATTCTATGATTCTAACCCCAAATCACCCAAAGTCCCAAAAGTCTCTGTCCCTGGTCAGAGCAGCCCCAGAGTTCGAAAGTTTTTGGGTGGAGATGGGACAGGGGTAAGAGGCACCTTACATGATTTGAAGCTGACCGCCCCACAGCTCCATAGGCCTCCGCTCTGCCAGCCGCCCCACGAACTCCTTCGCTCAGCTCCGCGGCCCACCAGCAGCTCCCACTGTCCCACAAACTGCTCCACCAGCCTGTCCACAAGGCACCCCAGCCATCCTGCAAACTGCTCCATAATATATCTTCAGGCTCCCCCACTACTTAACACAATGCTCAGTGATTTCAGCTCTTAGTCAGTTCAGCTCTTTGGTGAATTCAGCTTGTAGCAGGGGAGCCTCAGTGCTGGTGCCCCATTAGCCCAAGGTGAGCTCAGCAGCCTGTAACTAGGCTCCTAATGGAATCAAAATTAACTCTGATATTCCACAGTGGAGAGAGGAAGAAGTGCAATTAGCATGTAAGGCCCTCACCAAGGGGCCCATGCTACCAAGTATCAATACTTGTCCCCAGCCTCTCTCAATTCACAGTTTTAAAACCCATGACCCTTGCCTAGCGAGTGCTACTTAGTTGATGGTGAGTCTCTCCATCATAACAAAAGGCCAAGTACAGTTCCAAGCACAGTTCCCATAATCAGGGTAATAACAATGTATTCTTCCTGCCCCAATAACAGAGACACTGGGGATCCCACAGCAGCCAAAGTGACCATTTGGGCAGCTATGGCCTCATTCTAGGCGGGATGGGTGTGCCTATGCAAATAAGATCAGCCCCTAAAGTTCTTTTCCACAACTTGCCACACCTCACCACCAGATGTCAGGGTGGAGCTCATCCTGACACTGCTTACACAAGTTAATGGAATTTAGATCAGGCCTTAAAAGGCATTTCTCAGTGTAGTGATCTTATCCACTCATTCTCTAGACCAGACAAACTCTCTGAGGTATCTGCAGGCAGGTTTTGAGATGGAGGAGAAGAGGAGCAGGTTGCTTTGTCAGCTGTCACCACTACTAGGGGTTAAAAATAATACCCCCAGAACTGCTAAACTGCCAGGATGGTAGATTTATAGATTCCAAGGCCAGAAAGGACCATCTAGTCTGACCTCCTGTAGAACCCTGGCCACAGAACTTACCCCAAAATCATTCCTCAAGCAGACCTGTTAGACAAACATCCCATCTCGATTTAAAAATTGTCCGTGATGGAGACTCCTCCACGAATCCCTTGGTAAGTTGTTCCCCTGATTTGCAGACATGTTGTCATGCTGGTCAAGGAGTTGTAGGTGTAAGTGATGTTGTTTTGTACCCCAGGAAGGAAGAAATCACCGGTTACTACCCCTCCATGTATCTGCAGAAATCTGGGGAAGAGAACAACCCTGTGAAGAATACGCTGAGAAACAAAGGCGCCCCTCCTCGAAGGTAGGGTGGGCAAACAGGGTCTGATTGCCCTGTGGAGACAGTGTGATGAAGCAAACCAGACTGTGGTTTGGAATGCCCATCGCTTTCCCTAGAAATGAGGAACTACCTAAGTGCTATGTGAGGGGTGGGGGAAGAGGGTTGCTAAAAGGCTTCCTTCCTGAAAAGAAAGACAAAGGACCCAATCTTGCAAGGTGCCTGCTGAGTAACTTCAATTCCCATTGACATTACTGGGATCTGAGGATGCTAAACTCTTTTCGGAACAGGCCTATGCAGACTTCTCTCGAGCACTCTCTCTACTTGGATTTACTTCTAGGTGTCCACATGCAAAGTTTCTTCTCTGGGGATAATCTTGGTTCATTTTCAGATTGGATTCTGTTTTTAAACTGTGCTCACTGCGTTCACTTTGAAAAGCGAGCAGAGATTTGAAGAATCAGAGCTGCCAAACTAGCTAATCTGATGGGAGAATTTGAGCTCATGGAAGGGATTTTGTTTTGATTGAGAAGATAAAAGGCAATAAAACTCCCCGGTGCTGATACGGCTGCAAAGTGCAGAGTTGAACCCCCTCTCTTCATTTCTGCATCATTCCAAGGCAGGTTTCATACATTAGCTCCCAAATCCAGTTTGTGGTCTGATCCCGAGCTGGTGTGGATTGGCATAGCCTCACTGATGTCCATGCAGTAAATATTTAGTCAAGCTATAATATCTGTAGGGCACCAGTCACTGGAGTATGCAGTTGTCACGACACAGAGAGAGAGACTCTAAAGATATTATAAGTGAGGGATGAACCACGAAAAGCAATGAGTTTGGGTTCAATCTGGATAAGCACCCAAAAGCTCTGCTGTTGACTTGCATTAGTCAAACAAAGTAGCCCTTGTAAGGAACACATACCTCCCATTGTGAAGATAATTCCTTCTACTTAGGGCAGCTATGAAATGGGTGCATGTAATTTCACAGATGTGAAGAGTGTTGAAATTTTAGGAGTGAATGGAGGTATGGTAATGGAGTGTGAAGCTTCTTACACTTAGGTAAACAGTATGAACCCAGTGTGAAAAAATAGCTGGGATAGATAGTAGGGACCATCTGCTCATAGCTGTTTGATGCGCTGGTTATGAAAATGAGTTGGTCTTAGTTCAGATCCCAGAAGAGAGGCAAACACCTGCTCAGAACTCCCAGGGGCAGCATGCTATCTTATTCCAGCTGGGAATTTGGCCCCATGTCTTTGTGTTCGTGTTTATTTTCACTTTGTACAGTACTTTAGTTGTGTGTGATAGGTGTAGCTCAGGAAACAGGCTGAAACCAGGCTTCCTAAATCATGTAATCTGATCATTCTATGGGCCAGGTTCTGATCCCACTGAAATTTATGGGAATTTCACCATTGACATCAAATGGACCAGTATTTTAGTGTGTGTATGACACACACCCTCAGACACATGCAATCTGAATGCTCTGATAGCCATGAATTCCTACATCGGAATTACACTGGTGGTATACCAGAAACAATGGATATAAATAGGCATAGGTGAGCAGTGTGGCCCAATGGATGGGGCACTCTGCCACTCACCTGCTATTTGATCTAGGGCAAGTAACTGATGCTTGCCTTCCTCTGCAATGTACTTGAGCTCGATGGAAGAACTAAGTAAGCGTCACTGTTGTTTACTGTAATTATATTCTGACTTCACACTTATTTATTCATTTTTAAACCATTCATTCATAGCAGCTAGATGCTGCCTGACTCAGGTTTTACAGAACAAACCACATAAGGTTGCTCACAGTTGCTGACATTAATCCATGGTCCTTTTGCCTGGGATAATCAAAAGCAATCATAGGCTACATCCAGTGAGAATGCTCTCCTCAGGATGAGACTCTGCCAGGCCTACAAGAGGGGAGAGTTCCCACTGTGGGGACATGTAAGTAAGAAAGCATAGATAGCTAAAATGGCAAAAGCTGAAAGATTCACTCTTTCTCTACGCAGGTCGACCATCCGAAATGTCAAGAGCATCCACAACCAAATCCGGAAGCATATCAGCCAGGAGATGTACAGACGGAACAGCATGAAGTATAGGAAGATGAAGATGCAGAGCAATCTCCAGAACAAGTCCAACATGATCAGTAAGTTTCAGTCTGATGTACCCACTAGACTGAAAGCCCGTGTCATGTACGGTAGGGGGTGAGGACGGTTGTACTCAAGGAGACCCTCATGCGCATTAGGTCTCCGGGCTGGTGGACATCACTACGCTTCCTAGTCTATCCACCACATGGCAAGTCCTCATACCTTGCTGAGGTTGCTCAGGGGTGTTTGTGGCAGTGGGAGAATCCACACACCAGAGTTAATGATGGCCACTTGGTCTAATTTTGAGCTGCAGACAGCACTTCTACAGCAGTGACAGGCAACCAAATCGATGCCAGGTAAATCCAGACTGTAAGGAGTGGCCAAGAGTCAGATTTTCAAGGAGCCAAGCATGTGCACCTCCCATTGCCTTCACTGATGGCTATGGGTACTCAGTGCTTACAAGCATCAGGCTACAAAGGAGTTGGGTTTATTCTCTTTAGAACAGTACAGACTGAGGGGCTCTAGAGAAATTGTCTTCATTATGAAATGGCCCGATGAATCTGATGGTGGTTACAGTCTCTCGCAATCCTGACAAAGCAGTTTTCTACAAGTAGTAAATAGGGAAGTGGGTTTCATACAAAGCGTTAGACATATATGGAAAAAGTAAAAGGGAAAGGCCACTGAAGCAAAGACTGCAGAAGGAATGAGTTCAAGAGATGCATAGGTTCGTTTCTGGAATAGCAGGGCATTGAGCGAATGAAAAATCATGGAGGTGGAAATAGGGCAGGCCCCAGAAGGGCAGGTACTAACCCCCAAAGGGCTGAAACTAGTGAGTTCCGATTTCTGAAATGTCTTAAATGCCTGCAAATAATGGGAGGCAATGTATGGAAAGCCCAGTGATGCATTTGTGACATTCCTAGTGAATGGGAAGCTATACAATGATCTTGAAGCAACATAGCAAGCTAAATGACACATTGAGTTAGCCAGAGAGAGACCTACACCAAACCTCTGGATCCAGACTTTATAGGCCTAGAGTTTAAGGCTAGAAGGGATCAGCAGATCATCTAATCTGATTTGTCTAACACAGGCCACCCGCACTCCATACACAACAACCGAAATTAAACCAAAGTGTTATAGCCTTCGAGAGATTAGAGTATCATGAGCCACAGAGAGAGAACAGGAGGGACCCAGGTGCACCCAGTGCCTGAGCCCCCTGCAATGGCAGTGAATTGATTGTGATATACCCAAATGAACCTAGCAAATGGCCCATACTCCCATGCTGCAAAGGAAGGTGAAACCCTCCAAGGTCACTGCCAATCTGACCTGGGGAAAAATTCCTTCCTGAATCCCGACCCCACATCCAGCGATCAGCTAGATTCTGAGCAAGAACCAGCTACCCAAGAGACAACTTGAAACTTGATCCAAACTCTGCTGCTGGCTCCTTTGCCTGCAATTTGGTGCATCAAAAAGTAGTATTGGAATCTAAATGTTGTGACATCAGCCCCCTCAACTAATCTAGGGCCTGATCCTACAAGGCGCTGAGCACCTCATTACAGCCATGATTTAGCAAAGAGCTTTAAGCATGTGTCCATCCCTATTAGCAAAACATATAAACATGAGCCTGACTACAAGCACCTGCTTAATTCCCATAGAACTCAATGGAGGTGCTTAAAGTTAAGTATGCGCTTAGTTCTTGCTTTGACTAGAGGCTAATTGAGGATACTCAGTACCTTTCAAGATGCGCTCCTCACCTCGTATAGGATTGGGCCCATATTTAGTAAATTATCATATGATATAAGTGGATGAAATTCTCTGGCCTGTGTTACACAGGAGGTCAGACTAATGATCTAATGGTCCTGTCTAGCCTTGAAATCCAGGAATAAAGCAAACCACAGAAAAACGTAGAGAGGAGGAAGGGAAAAATACTTTCCCCAGATGGAAGTTTTTGAATGTTTAGAACAAGAGAGTGATGGCTTTATGGGGGTTGATACTAACAAATCCCTCACAGATTCTAAACCATTTTTTCAGCCGCTGTGCTCCCTTTAGAAGGAGCCAATCCAGTACTTGATCTGGACCCACTGACATCAAACACTTTTATGCTGGGATCAAATTCATTGGGACTCGGGTACCTATGTCACTTGGCCTCCTCTGAAAGTCCCAGACCAATATGCACAGATATTAAAGTGGGCCTGGCATGGAACTTTCACATATTTTTATGTCTTGTCATTTGTAGGAGAGAAAAATGAAATGGTAGAAAATGTGTCCAAGGCCCAACCGGCCGTTCCACCACGACCCAGTAAGGACCTGATCATGAATCGTTGTACAGAGAGCACGAAGAACAAGATCAAATGATCCCACTGGGGAAAAAAATAAAGCTGATGCTTATTCTCTGCCAGGACTCTGTAGCCAGACTGGACAGTTCTGGTAAATTTCGGCATCTCTACAAGAGTGGCAGTTCTCACAGAGTTTCTCAGAGCTACAGGTTATGGCACTTCAAATTAAGGTTCCACATATAATTCAGTCTCTCAACAAATATGAATTGTTCTAAACTTGATGGGCCAAATTTAGTTTTCATTTATACTTGTGCAATCCCAGGGAGTACAATGAGGTTGAATTGGTGCACTAGGACAGAATTCGGCAAGATATTCTCAGTAACTGATTACATTTTAAAAAAAAGTTTACTATGATCTACTACACAAAATACGGTTGATCAAGTATCAGAGGGGAAGCCGTGTTAGTCTGTATCCACAAAAATAAAGAGGAGTCCGGTGGCACTTTAAAGACTAACAGATTTATTTGGGCATAAGCTTTTGTGGGTAGAAAACCCACTTCTTCAGATGCGTGGACTGAAAATTACAGATACAGGCATAAATATATACTGGCACATGAAGAGAAGTGAGTTACAAGTGGAGAACCAATGTTAAAGGCCAATTTAGACAGGATGGATGTAGTCCACTCCCAATAATTGATGAGGAGATTCACTCCATGCAGCTGAAGAAGTGGGTTTTTTACCCACAAAAGCTTATGCCCAAATAAATCTGTTAGTCTCTAACTGGTAGTGATCAATCTATTGGGGATCGATATATCGCATCTTGTATAGATGCGATAAATTGATCCCCAAACGTGCTCCCCGTCGATTCCGGAACTCCAGCTTGTGAGAGGCGGAAGCGGAGTCGATGTGGGCCCGTCCTCATGGCCAGGTAAGTCGTTGACCTAAGATACTCCGACTTCAGCTATGCTATTCGTGTAGCTGAAGTTACATATCTTAGGTCGACCACCCCCCACTCCAACCCCCGCCCCCAGTGTAGACCAGGGCTAACATGTCACTGGATTCCTCGTTACAATTGATCATGGCACTGATCATATGAGGTGTTGGGTGAACTCATCTCTCATTGACTTTTTTTCAAGGTAGAGGAAGGTGCTCAGCATTCCATTGCATTGAGCAATAAGAGATTCTTAATTGATTCTTTTCCCACCATTTGTACTTGGAACCTAGATGATACGGTTTGCACTTATTATCTTGCTTTGTAATATAGCCATTTTTGGTGACTGTTATTGTAGGAGACTCCCATGTAAAGTTAATACATACATCTCTTTTAATCCATTACAGTGTTTTACTAGCTAAATACGTCTGTGGTTTGAAAAGGCATTTTATGGTTGTAATACAATTATGGTGCCTAAATGACTGATTGATAAACAAGTCAGAGAAAAAAGCTGCTGAATTGCAGTCTGTCTCCTGCAGCCAAGAGACGCTACATGTTCAACAAAAGTTGAGGGGCATTTTGCAAGAGTTGCTGAAGAAAGGGATTTCCTGACAGATCCTTTCCAACACGCAGTGGCTGTTGCACAGTGGGTTTACCACAGGCCTCTTACAAAAGATAAGGAGTACTTGTGGCAGCTTAGAGCCTAACAAATTTATTTATGTGTTAGTCTCTAAGGTGCCACAAGTCCTCCTTTTCTTTTTGCGAATACAGACTACCAGGCTGCTACTCTGAAATCTTACAAAAGATGTTGATATCAAAGAGGAAATTCCATCTGGCTATCTACAGTAACAATCTATGGCTGTAATTGTAACTGATAGCTTTTGCTAAGTGTCCAAGGGCTGCTATGGTCTAACAAAATTTGGCTCCCTCCTGCCTTCTAGTGGGAAAACAGAAAAACGTGTAGAGACTCTTATTTATTATTTGTACCGGGTTTAAAAACAGTGAGTCAGCCCCATGAAAATCACCGATTGTCTTAAAAATCATGAGATTTTTCCACAACAAAGTTGAGATTCCTTTGATTTGCCTTCTGATTTTTGAGGCTTTAGGCTTTGAGTTTTCAAGCTTTTCTCTGCAGTCACAAAGGCTAGAAGCTTACTTTGCATAAGAACCTCAGCTTTCATTAAAAAATACCGAACACCAAATATCATGAGACTTGTGATAAATTGGCGAGAGTTGGCAGAACTGCACGGTAGCACCTACAGACCTCAGTTACAGACAGGATAAGCTAATGTGATAGATGCTGTTTTATGCATATAACCAAAAGCCAGTGCCTGCCCCGTTGAGCCTGCAGTGTCAGTACGTAGGCCCTTTCTTCCCCATGCGATGTAGGTCTGAGGGAGCGAGCCAGTGGGCTCTTTCCAAGTATTTTCAGTCTCTGTTCAGTGTTTTGTTTTTCTTCCCTGCGTTGGGTCCTCTCCACCCCCCTTTCAGACTCTCTGCTTCTGAGCTGCCCCGGCATCGGAGGCCGGGAGCGAGATGGGCCGAGGGAGAAGCTCAGGGGAGAGGGTGTGCCCGGGGTGCAGAGCAGCCATGGACGCAGTCCCCGTCTCTGTGGAAAAAGAAGCAAAGGGGTGTAGGTTAGAGAGGGGAGAAAAGGGGAGCGGGGGTGCTTGGGGGGCAGAGGGGCCTTGGGGGGCAGCTGGGCCCAGGCCTCCTGCCTTTGTTCAGGGACCGAGGGGCAAGGGCTTGCTCCCGCCGTGGCAGGGGCGCTGGGGGGCCTATGCCCAGCGCTTAGGGGGCTGGGCACCAGGGCCTGCACCACCCCAGTAGGGACCCAGGGCTTGCTGTGGGTGGCTATAGCAGGGCCCCTGCAGGCTGCTTCTGGGCTTCTCTTTAGGGCCCCGCCAAATTATGGGCCGGGCCCCTTTAAATCGCAGACATCGCGAGATTTGGCAGGTCTCGACCAAGGCCTCGGCTGTCATGGCCGCCGCACGTTCTGCCCACGTGACCCACGCGCTGCCCCGCGTCCCGGCGCTGAAGTCGCGCGGCGAGTCCGTCCTCCCGGGTTCGGGGGCGGGCCCCGGGAGGTCAAAGGGGAAGGGTCGCCAAGGTGGCGTCTCCCGCGCGGCTCGTGCTGCCGCGGTAGAGCGGCGGTTGGCGTTGCCGGCCCGGCGGGGGGCGTATCGGGCTCTGCTGGGCCAATGGCCCCGACTCCGCTGCTCCTCGCTGGGGGCCGGGGCTGGCAGAGGCTCCTGGGGCCCCAGGGGGAGCTGCTGGTGCAGGGACTTCAGGGGTCTCAGAGGGGGCTGTTGGGGCCCCTGGTAGCCCAGAGGGGGCTGCAGGTGTTGGGTTCCCAGGTAGCCCAGAGGGGGCTGCAGGTGCTGGGGTCCCAGAGGCAGTTATTGGGGTCCCAGGTAGGTCAGAGGGGGCTGCAGGTGTTGGGTTCCCAGAGGCAGTTATTGGGGTCCCAGGTAGGTCAGAGGGGGCTGCAGGTGCTGGGGTCCCAGAGGCAGTTATTGGGGTCCCAGGTAGGTCAGAGGGGGCTGCAGGTGTTGGGTTCCCAGAGGCAGTTATTGGGGTCCCAGGTAGGTCAGAGGGGTAGGTGCCCCAAGGGAGGGGGCTGCAGGTGCTGGGGTCCCAGAGGCAGTTATTGGGTTCCCAGGTAGGTCAGAGGGGGCTGCAGGTGCTGGGGTCCCAGAGGCAGTTATTGGGTTCCCAGGTAGCCCTGAGGGGGCTGCAGGTGCTGGGGTCCCAGAGGCAGTTATTGGGGTCCCAGGTAGCCCTGAGGGGGCTGCAGGTGCTGGGGTCCCAGAGGCGGTTATTGGGTTCCCAGGTAGGTCAGAGGGGGCTGCAGGTGTTGGGTTCCCAGAGGCAGTTATTGGGGTCCCAGGTAGGTCAGAGGGGGCTGCAGGTGTTGGGTTCCCAGAGGCAGTTATTGGGGTTCCAGGTAGCCCAGAGGGGGCTGCAGGTGCTGGGGTCCCAGGGGCAGTTATTGGGGTCCCAGGTAGGTCAGAGGGGGCTGCAGATGTTGGGGTCCCAGGTAGGTCAGAGGGGACTGCAGATGTTGGGGTCCCAGGTAGCCCAGAAGGGGCTGCAGGTGTTGGGGTCCCAGGTAGGTCAGAGGAGGCTGCAGGTGCTGAGGCCCCACAGGGGGTTATTGGGGCCCCAGAGGGAACTGCCGCTGCAAGGTCTGTCCAGAGGCTTTGGCAAGGTAGCCAGGACCAGGAGCAGCAGAGAAGTGAGAGAAACTGAGGACTCTGCCCCAGTTTTTCAGTATGTGGGGGAGAGGGCCAAGCGGAAGGAGAGGGTGTTTGTCTGGGGTTTCTGTTATGCTGGGGCCCTGGGGATCCCCAGCTTCGTTATGCCTGATGCAGGCTGGAAAAAGCGCCGGAGGATCCAGCCCACACCCTACCGCCTAGAAACAGCTGAGAAGGTGGGTGAAAACAGCTGGGAGACCCATTAAGTATTATTGGAAGGACACTTGGGAGTGGAGATGCATCCAAGTCAACTCTTCAGATCCTGACTTTCCCCGTGATCACAGGTGTTTTGGCTTGGATGTTTGGTTCAGCTCATTATAGTGAGAGGGACCAGCTGCAAAATTAGCACCTGAACTTTCCGAAGCTTTGGTCTAATCATTTTGTTTAGGCCTGTCTCTGATATTTTTCAGGGGGATTCATTTCAAAGAAGTATTTTCTTCTGGTGATGAGGATTTTTTTCTGAGTTTTAACGAGACGTAATCTCCAAGTTCAAATGACTGTCAATGTGAGCTCAGTGTAACAGGACTCTAAGCCTGTTTGAATGAAAGAGAACAAGGTCTGAGATTTTAAATGTCATGTCGAAAAATGCAGAGCAACATATTCATTCTAAGAAGGTGATTTAAAAAAACTTCCTTCTATCCACTGATTTTAGCATTTATCTCAATGAATCAGATTTGGCAGGTGTCTGTCCAAAAATATAAAGCTTTTGGGGGTTAATTTATCAGCATTACCTTAATTCCATTGTTGTCAATGTAGCTGAGTCAATGTGCCTAAGGAGAGTTTGTGTCGTCATAACAATCATTGTTTATTATTTGCACTGTGATAATACTTGGAGGCTCCCAACAGGAATGGGATTCCATTGTTCTCGGACCTGTGCAAACACACAGGAGCTTGTACGCTGTGGGGGGAGTGGGGTGGGCAACCTGAGCCTGAAAAGGAGCCAGAATTTACCAACGTACATTGCCAAAGAGCCACAGTAATAGGTCAGCAGTCCCCCATCAGCTTCCCCCCCCCGGTTTCCAGCGCCTCCTGCCTGCAGGCAGCCCCACTGATCAGCACCTTCTCTCCCCCCACCACCCGCACCTCCGCTTTCAGGAGGCTCTGGGGAAAAGGGGGAAGGAGTGAGGGCATGGGGTGGGAATGGGTGGAGTGGGGGGCAGGGCCTGTGGCAGAGCCAGAGGTTGAGCAGTGAGCACCCCCCCAGCACATTGGAAAGTTGGTGTCTGCATTAACCTCTGAAGAGAAGCATGTGGCTCCGGAGCCACACATTGGTCACCCCTGCTCTAGAGAGCTTAAGCATGGTATATAGGAGGGGTGGGCAAACTTTGGCCCGAGGGCCACATTGGGGTGCAAAACTGTATGGAAGGCTGGGTAGGGAAGGCTGTGCCCCCCAAAAAATCTGGTCCCCGCCCTCTCCCACTTCCTACCCCCTGACTGCCCCCCTCAGAACCTCCAACCCATCCAACTCCCCCGCTTCTTGTCCCCTGACCTCCCCTTCCCAGGACCCCCGCCCCTAACCGCCACCTCCCAGGACCCCAGCTGCTATCCAACCCACCCGCCCCCTGACAGGACCCCAGGACCAAACCCCCCTGTACCCAAACTTTCCCCCCGCCCCCTATCCACACCCCCGCCCCCCAATGGGACCCTGGGACCCGACCCCCCAGCTCCCTATCTGCGGACTGCCTGACGTCTATCCACACCCCCGCCCTCTGACAGGCCCCCCAGGACTCCCACACCTATCCAACCCCCTCTGTTCCGCGTCCCCTGACTGCCCTCCCAGAACCTTCACCCCATCCAACTGCCCCCTGCTTCCTGTCCCCTGACCCCCCGGTTCCCTGCCCCTTATCCAACTCCCCGCCCCCTTACCATGCTGTTCAGAGCTTTAGGACTGGCAGCCGCACCACCCGGCCAGAGCCAGACATGCTGCCTGTGCGGCAGCATGCTACGGGGGAGGGGAGGGCCTGGGGGGCAAGCCTCCCCAGCCAGGAGCTCAAGGGCTGGGCAGGACGGTCCCGCGGGCCATAGTTTGCCCACCTCTGGTATGTACTATATTGCCAGAACCATAACCGAGATGGGGAAAATGACAATGTTAGAGAGCTCGCGATTTCCTTTAACTCCCCACAGAAGAAAAGTATCCCCAAAGTCGGTTGCTCTTTTGTACCTTTGCACTTTGAACAAATTAGAAACCCATCTTAAAGAAGTAGTTTAAATTCATTCGTCTCCTTTAGCCTAATTCTTGGTGGCTTGCACTCTGCCTGAGGAGGGCTGAAATTTATGTAAATTGTTTGAGAGTCTTTATTTTTATTTTTTTTTAAAAACCCAACAACTTACTAGTTTAGAAAACAAAATCTTGTTCATTTTTGTTATTCAAGTTGTGCTGAAGTGGAAAAGTTTTAGTGTTCTGTGTCCTGCTTCTCATTCTTTTATTTCGCAAAACGACTGCCAGGGTGGATTTGATTTAAATCAAATTGATTTAAATCATGATTTAAATCACTAGTCAGGAAGACTCGATTTAATCATGGTTTTCTACATAAAAGTGCATTCTTGTTGGTTGTTATAACCTTAATACATAATCTTCACAACTCAGAGATAGATGTAGGTTTCATTTTTAAAAGGTACACATTATACATTTTTAAACAGTGATTTATTTTGAAAACTTTTCAGATTAGTTTTACAACTATATCAGAAAACAAATGATTGTTTGGTTATTTCATTTACCAAAGGTAAACTGGGAGGTGAACTATCTCCAATTCAACAGGTTAATCATTAATATTTGGAGGATTTTCTAGCCATGCTGTATTAGGAGGAGAACATCACCAGACAGACATTTAAATGGTTTTATTTAACTAGAACAACAATGTTAAGTATTCTGGATTTTTTTCTTCAACAGCAAACATACAATATTTTAACAAAACAAGCATACGTCCCTCACTTCTCACATTTGTCTCTAGACTTCTTCTCCTTGACAAGATCTATTCCACCCCCAACAATCTTCTATTCATTGAACTTTTTGAAACTTTGCACTTTAAGAGAGAGGTAAGGGATTGACTCTATGTACACAAATTTGCAGAGGGACAATAGAGTTGAGGTCTGTTATTTTTCACCTCTGTATATTATTTATTTATTTAAAACATTTTTTGCTGTTAACAAGCATGTTACCTCTGGAGACACAAATCCACAGTTTGAGAACTGCAAAACTAAGCATCTCGGATGGTATCTTCTAGACTGCCATTCGGTAGATAGAAAGATTAACCTAAATAATTTATACAGAAGCCCGTGGAACCCCATAAGATTGGGTCTCTAATCCATGAACTATTGGAACTCATTTACAGAACTTTTCTCAAACGTTACATGAATATATTGTCTCATACTATAGAATTAGAATGTAAATCCCTATTCCATGATGAGATATCTTTGAGCTATAATGTAACTTAATTAAAACTATCTTTAGATAAGTTTTTTCCTCAAAAAGCATTTTATAAAAAAAAATCCGATTTAAAAAAAAATCCAATTTTTTTGATTATTTCTTTTTAAAAAATCATTGATTTTTATCCACCCTGAAGACCGCACAGTTTTTGCATGACTGACATGTTCCAGGACGGATTGCAGGGGTTGCTGCATTTGTGAATTTAGGTGTGTTGATAGAGCTCTGTAGTCTCATCGAGATGAACAGCTTTTTGGTTTTAAATCTCTCCAGGGCTGCCCAGAGTCCGGGACTAGTCATTACTTCGTGGAGTGCTAAACTTGCACCTGAGTGCTGTGTCCATGCGTGCTATTACTGAAAGCATAAAAAAAAAAAAAACAGTTTAGAATTAATTTCCATCCTGGATTTTATTCAGAAAAGAAGCCAGAAGAATCGGGTCAGCAGTGCATAGTCTCTCTTTAGTCTGGACTACTTTGGGGTTGTCTCGTATATCCACAGACGTGATAGGTTTTGCTGAGTTGTTATACGTACTGCTTAGGTCATGTCTAGACTACAGTTGCCACAGTGGTGGAGCTATGGTGGTGCAGCTGTGCCACAGTAGAACTCTAGTGTAGACACTTCCCATGTTGACAGAAGGGTTTTTCCCCCATCAGTGTAGTTAATCCACCTCTCCGAGAGGTGGTAGCTAAGATGACGGAAGAATTCTTCTGATCTACTCTTGGGGTTAGGTCACCCTAACTACAGTGATCAGGGTGTGAAATTTTTCACAGCCCAGTGCGACATAGCTAGGTTGATCTAATTTTTAAGTTTAGATCAGGCTGTGTCTTTAAAAACAAACCAAGTTTTTGGACTAGTTGCTAAAAAGAACAAGTGTTTAGAAGCTTGTCTAGCAGCTGTTTGAGCTTTATTCTTAAAACACAACAGCATAAGGACTACTGATGACCCTCTTGTAAGGGTTGTACCAAGAAGACTCCTTTGCCATGAATTGGGGGAAGTAATCTAAATAAACATGATTCTGAGTTTATAAAATCAAATAAGCTTCAATTTTCCAAAACAGATTTATAACTCAATGTTTTGCTTTTTCTTAAAGATATCCTCTGCAGCATGTGGCTATGGCTTCACTCTAATATCCTCAAAAACCACTGACATTACCAAAGTTTGGGGCATGGGGCTGAACAAGGATTCTCAGCTTGGCTTTCAGAGAAGCAGGAAGGATCAAAGTAAGCATCTCAGCTCTTGTAGGGATTTGAGGGATCATAAATAAGCTATTGGAAAACATTGCAGATGTTTCTAGAAGTCTAAATCCCAAGGGTGTTGGGTGACCTTTAAGACAAACTGTCCTAGGCATTTCCTGGGGATGGAGAGCCAGTGGGGTTGGGTTGCAGTGTTGGTGGCTGAGAGGGTTTTTGAGAATTCTGTCTTGTAAAGAATTTAGTTTTGTCCATGGAGTGGTTTTATAAATGTATGTAGTGTACCAGCCCAGACCCATTTTGGGCGTTAAGGGGTAACCCATCAGCTAGGAAAATGTCTTTGCTACCACATGTTAGGCACGTATCTGGTGGTCATTGCCATCGCCCGGGTGGATATAGATGCTGGAAGTGGTGCAGTTTTTCTGTATCATGTAATGTTTTAACGTTATTGGGCATCCAATCCAAACAAATCATAAAATCACAAAATGGGCCTTAACTCATGGAAACATAGTTAAATTTTTACCAAAATTGGCAGCTTAGCTTGTAAATTTGTATGCTGGTAGAAGGCCTTGGGTACCATTTGTGGTGCAAATTTGGGGTCATGGTTAAGGGGCTCCTGAGATCCAGCTCCCTTTCTCTCCTGGCAAATGAGCTGTCTTTAATTGTAAAGTGCTCTAACATGCAAATGCAGAGCCAGATTGGCTTGACAACTTCTCTGCCAGATGAAGACCCAGAGTAGCATCTGGGCTACAATTCTGGGGTCCCTTGGTGACTAGAGCTCCCCTTCCCCCGATCTGTTTTTACAATGGGTCAAACTACCCTGAGAACTCCAGCAATTGGAGCTGCAGATAGTGCTGATGCCTCAGGCATGCAGTGCTGAGCTGGGGAGTGTGCTCAGTTCTTGCTACAGGCATGCAAAGTGGAATTCAGGGGAGCTAAGAATGGGTACACTTACTCCACACCATGGGCACACCTAGCTAGATCCATAAAGGGACTCGGTGCCTAAATCCCAAGTTTAGGCACCACCACAATTCACAAAACCCATGCACAGCTGCTGCTCAACCCTGTAGGTGCCTAAGTTTTTGCTCTAAAAATTCCCTAGCCACCTACGTTTCTGCCTCTGTGCATGTGAACATAAGAACGGCCATACTGGGTCAGACCAAAGGCCCATCTAGCTCAGTATCCTGATTTCTGACAGTGGCCAATGCCAGGTGACCCAGGGGGAATGAACAGAACAGGGAATCATCAAGTGATTCATCCCCTGTCGCTCATTCCCAGCTTCTGGCAAACAGAGGCTAGGGACAACATCTCTGCCCATCCTGACTAATAGCCATTGATGGACCTATCCTCCCTGACCTTATCTAGTTCTTTTTTGAACCCCATTATAGTCTTGGCCTTCACAACATCCTCTGGCAAAGAGTTCCACAGGTTGACTGTGCGTTGTGTGAGGAAATACTTCCTTTTGTTTTTTTAACCTGCTGCCTGTTAATTTCATTGGGTGACCCCTAGTTCTTGTGTGATGTGAAGGGGTAAATAACACTTCCCTATTCATTGTCTCCACACCAGTCATGATTTTATAGACCTCCGTCCTATCTCCTCTTAGCCATCTCTTTTCCACTCTGAACAGTCCCCGTCTTTTTAATTCCTCTTCATATGGAAGCCGTTCCATCCCCCGCAGCATTTTGGTTGCCGTTCTCTGAACCTTTTCCAATTTTAATATTTTTTCTGAGATGGGGCGACTACATGTGCACACAGTATTCCAGATGTGGGCGTACCATGGATTTATATAGACGCAACATGATATTTTCTGTCGCCTTATCTATCCCTTTCTTAATGGTTCCCAACATTCTGTTCTTTTTTTTGACTGCTGCACATCGAGTGGATGTTTTCAGAGAACTGTCTGCAGTGACACCAAGATCTCTTTCCTGAGTGGTAACAGCTCATTTAGATCCCCCCATTTTATATGTATAGTTAGGATTATGTTTTCCAATGTGCATTGATCAAGACTGCATTTCATCTGTGATTTTGTTGCCCAGTCTCACAGTTTTGTGAGATCTCTTTGCAGTCTGTTTTGGACTCAACTATCTTGAGTAATTTTGTATCATTTGCAAATTCTGCTACCTCACAGTTTACTCCTTTCCCAGATCATTTATGAATATGCTGAACAGTACTGGTCCCAGTACAGATCCCTAGGAGATGCCGCTATTTACCTCTTTCCATTCTGAGAGCTGACCATTTCCTCCTATTCTTTGTTTCCTATCTTTTAGCCAGTTACTGATCTATGAGAGGACCTTCCCTCTTATCCTCATGCCTAAACCCCAGCATGTTTCTCCAACCATTGTGCTGCCTATCTTCCCTTGGGGGGCTCAACTGGGTAGGCGCCTAATGCCACACAAGGCGGTTGGGGAGGCCAGGGCCTCCCTTACAATGTTTAGCTTAATGGTTAGGGTACTCATCTGGGATCTGGCAGAGCCTGGGTCAGTTTCCTCTCATGGCCTCAGGAGGAGCTGGGATTTGAACAGCGATCTGTCACTTCTTCTTAAATGAGTGTCCTCAGCGGGGGGCACCACTCTCCCTCCTGACTTTTACCCACTGGTTAGGGCACTCACCTGGGGTGGGGGTGAGTCTGCTTTGATTCCCCACTCTGCCCACTGAGAAGGGATGTGAATAGGGATCTGCTATCTCGCAAGTGCGTGCCCTGAGTGCTGATCTAAGGGATCTTGTGATGTGGGTTACTCTTCTTCTCTTGTTGATGCTGGGCCACTTTAATGAAATAATTACATAGCAGTTGGGCCACCGATAGCTAGTCTCATGAATGTTCTATAGCCCAGTGGTTTGGGGTGTTGCTCAGGATGTGGGAGATGGGGTTCAATTCCCCCTCTGCCTGCCTGGTGGGATGTAAGCAGCCATCACCTAAGTGCTGGGCTAGGTGGGGTCCTGGTGTGGGGCTCCCTCAGGCTTTCCTCTTGAAGCCGTTCCACTTCAATTAGCTATTAATTGGGCCAAAGAAAGTAAATGCTGAGCTATCTGATCACTTTGGTTGCTCTTCTCTGGGCTTGTCTACACAACAGAACTGGTATAACTTTGCTGACAGAGCCCCCTAATGGAGGCCGAATTTTTTTTTTTGCTGGCCTAGGTATGTCATCTCTCCGAACAATATCTGCTAAACTGTAAGTATCACTATTTTGGTGGCAGGTGTGTCTACACCACAGGTTTTGCCAGCAAAGTTACACTGACCAAGGCATGTGATTTTTTTTCACACTTCTAGCTGACGTAACTGTCATGCTGCCTGTCGTGGGTCAAGAGTGGGGGCACCAACCTCAGGGCAGATTTTTAGAAACCAGGACACAAACCCCAGATTGGCTGTGACTTATATACTTAGATTTCACCAATCAATTGTCAAGTGTAAACTCCTCAGGCTCTATAACAGCCTTAACTTGGAGTCACAGTCAGTCTCCTTGGTACTCTGATCTGTCTTGCCACCCACGGGAGCATGTCTCTGATACAGATGGTTCCTTACAGCAAGAATCACAGAAATATTCAGGTTACTCCCAGTCCAAAGGACCAGTCATTTACTCCAGGTCACCTGCACCTTAGATCTCACACCAATGACAACACTTGTAACCAATCCCATAAAAACTATAAGATTTATTAGATAGGAAAAGGAAAAGAGTTATTTGTAAAGTTAAAGCAGATGAAGATACACACACACACAAATGAGGAACAGTCATATGTTTCAAAAAAACAACGAGGAGTCCGGTGGCACCTTACAGACTAACAAATTTATTTGGGCATAAGCTTTCGTGGGTAAAAAGCCCACTTCAGATGCATGGAGTGAAAACGAAAGCTTATGCCCAAATAAATCTGTTAGTCTGTAAGGTGCTACCGGATTCCTCATTGTTTTTGTGGATACAGACTAACACGGCTACCCCTCTGATACTAGTCATATGTTTCAAAAGGTAATAGCTTCTACAATAAGCAAGCTCTATATGTCCTTTAGAGCTAACCATCTAGGGCTCTCTTATCCCTAATCCTCCCCCACCACCACACCCACACCCCACCACCAGAGTTGAAGCAGCATAGAGATGCCTAGTTCCATTTGTTTGGTGTTTTCATCCCCTCCTGCCATGCGCTCTGAGCTGCAAACTCGGCTGATGGGAGGAATCCACTTGTATGATTCATCTTCATGGGAGGAGAGCAGAACAGTAGTCTCTTGTCCTCTTTAACATCCCACAATAGTCTGTCTGGTGTCGATGGACCTTTCCTGTTGGGAAAGACGTAACATCTTGTGTTGCAGATCAGCTCTTCATACTAATTAATGTTTCTCTCCTGTCTGGTGACTTACACAGAGTCACAAAGGCTTACAATACAACTGCTCAAATATTACCTTACTGTATGGGATACAGATGCTGTAAATTATATTAATGCATGCAGCAACTAGTATTTATGAAATGGTTGTGAAATACATTCTTATAGGTATTGGAATGATTTTAACAATATTAACACACAGGTGAGCCAGCCTCATTCCAGCTATGTTTGTGTCAGTGTTCAATTGAAACCTGGGGATTTTGGCATGAGCTAGCACCTGCTCTGCCAGTGTCATGACATTCACTAGGGGTTGTGCTTTTTTTTTTTTCCTTTACACACTTCTGGCTGAGCTCGCTTTGTAGTGTAGTTTAAATCTCAGAACTCCCTCCAGCCTGTCAATATCTTTCTGGTATTGAGGGGCAGATGTAGCGGCATTAGAGAGCAATAGAATGGCTGTTATTTCCCAGTGAAACCTGCCTCTGTGTAGGCAGTCTCCTGGATTGCATTTCCTGTTGTTTGCATTGCAAGCTCCCTCCAGTCACTAAGATCCAGATTGTTGATACCTACAAAGAGGGTACCTTGCCGCACAAGAGATCCTAGGCAATCAGTGGGATGTCTTGTGGCGTAAAGTACTTCTACTCACTGTGTGTAAAGAGATCGCCGTCTGATCTTAAGGGAGCCATTTTCCCTCTAGTATAAGTTCTTCCTTTGATACATTTGTAAAAGCTCATCTCCCTTTAACCTTTTGTCTAGCGCTAATTATATTTTGCTTTTTTGCTGCTCTTTTCTTTTCCCTGATGGCCTTAACTAATTGTATATTCTGTTGAGTTACCAACTCTTTGATTTCTAGTACAATATTTAAAAAAACACTTTAGATCTTTGATCCCTTGTGAAGCCACATTTGCTGCTGCTTGTTCCTGCATTCCTTTTTCCGAGAGGAATTTTAATCTGCTGTGCTTTAAGTATGGTGTCATGAGGTCCACTGAATGCATCAGATGAAGTGAGCTGTAGCTCACGAAAGCTTATGCTCAAATAAATTTGTTAGTCTCTAAGGTGCCACAAGTACTCCTTTTCTTTTTGTGAGGTTCCCTGTTCACCTTGCACACTGACTTTGAATGTTTCCTCCCATTGTGCCTGAGTCACAAAGCCCCCAGTTCAGCAAAGTAGTTAAGCACATGCTTAACTTCAAGCTCTTCAGTAATCCATCCAACATGCTTAACTGCTTTGCTGAAATGAAATTTTCAAATTCCCTGAATGTGGCTGCCTGAAATCTAATGCCACCAAACTTCTGCATTCTGTGAATTGCTCACTGGGCAGAATCCAGCACTTGCTGTTTCCAAGCCTTCCCTATTAGCAATTAGTGTGAGATAGATCCAGGTCACCCCTGGACTCTGGTTAGGATCTTTGCTTTCTGGATCATAAATTGTCCTTTACCTAATACAGGAATCTGTTTGGCAATGTGTTCATAAATACGATCCGCGAGCAAACACACACCAAGTTCACTTTGTAGAAGTTGGTAATTTCTGATTTGTCTGTTCTTTCTTAAAGCTAAAAGCTATGAATGTGTCTTGGAACCATCTCCCATTCCATTACCACTGGACACTCCCCAGGAGACTCGGATCTTGCAGGTGTCTTGCGGGAGAGCTCATTCCCTGATCCTGACGGACAAGGAAGGAGGTACAGTATCACTTATAGTGTGGCAAGGGACAACAGAGTCTGATTGCTCAAGTCAAGTCTTGTCTTTTCTTCTTTCCTTAAAAGCTGAACCCAAACCTGACTGTATAAATATGGCACATGGAAGTGTTTTTTCAACCCTTAAAGCAGGATTGTTCAGTGAAGGGAAAACTCTTAAGTTTAAATCTTCTTCACATTCTGCGTTCCATCTGGCCCAAGCTGTAGATGTTTTTGTTCTGCAAGTATTCTAAAATATGGTTTGTCTGTCTAGCCCTGGGGCTTGTTAAGTGTAGGGTATTTGTCTCTTTCAGCTGGATGTATTTTCTAATTCAGGTTTCGGACAGGTATGCCAATACCTTATGGCATTTTCTTTGTGAAACTTCTAAGTGCTACTTGGCTAGGTAGAATGTTGCATTCATAAAGGTAATTAATTAATAGGCTTATATAGAGAGGAACCTGTGTTGACTGGCTCTCAAATGCCCTGAGAATTCTTTAGCACACCAACTTCAGTGCAGTATTTAGCATCCCAGTGCAGCTATTGATCGCTGAGAGAATTGATCACTTGATTTGGTGCTTCTGTGGAAATGCTGATCTTATTTCTAAGTCTCCTAGGCAACAGCCGAAGGAGCTAGTCAATTATGGAGGAATGGCCACTAGCTTCCAGGTACTAGTATAGTGCATATGACATTACTGCTTAGATACTGTTGCCTGAAATGTCTTGAATCTCTCATATTTAGGTGAACCCTGGTGAGAAGGTTCAAGATCATCTTGTAGGTGCTTGAGAACTAAGCATTTTGGGTGTATGTTGGGATTATGCAGGCCGTGTTGCAGTTAGGAGCCAACATCTATGAGAGAGAATAAATGCTTGATATTAACTTGAATAGCTAAATGGAAGTCAGATGCATGCAGTTGTTGTTTTTTCAGTCTTCAGCATGGGCAACAATTCCTATGGGCAGTGCGGCCGAAAAGTTACTGAAGGTGAAATTTACAGGTGAGACTACCCCCCGAATTCATACCCTTTATTTTTGCATAATAGAAGTTCTCATATAATTAATTACAGGTCTATTTTCTTTACTTTCATACTCCCTTCCCCAGTGAAGGTTTTTAGTACAGCTTTTCTCCATCCCTACTAATGTAGTGCCAGGTAATGTACTGTGAGAACGGGTAGACTAGTGCTAAATTAATTTGGAGGCAGTATAATCTAGTGGTTTGGGTATAATCCAGGGACTGGAATCAGGAGCTCCTGAGAGAAAAGTCCCATCTCTACCAAGTAGAACTCCTATTGCTTTAGATTAGTCACTTAAACTAACCTATAGAAAGGGGAAATCATTTCTCTCCCTTCAGAAGATGGAAAGTGCTCTACAGTGTTAAGTGTTCTGAGTACATGTGAAGACTCCCTTCCCCAGATATTTTGCAAAGAGCGCAAGCCTCTGGAAGTTTCAGTTGCAAACCCTTGAAATCTTCCCTTTGTTTTACCTTTTCTCTTTCTCTGCTGGTGATGCAGTGAGAGCCATCTAATTCACCGACTGCGAAAGTTTGAAGGCAGGGTTGTGCAGGTAAGAGCCTTTTCTCAATCTAAAAGCTGTCTGAGGATGGGGGTCGTTCAACAGATGTCTTCTAAAATGGGAAAGAGGCCCTACTGCTTGATTCTTTGGGGCTTGAACAATTGCCCCTTATCCTATACCACTTCCCAGCTAGTGTGATTGACTTTGCTGGGTCTGAATTCCTGGGAGGATCAGGAAACATGAGACCTTAGCTGATGGGCACCCTCTGCTGCTGAATTTCTTTGGCTGCATTTGAGTATTATCTGTTGAGAGGCCTATCCCTGACCATTTCTCAGTCATCTCGGCCTTCTCTTTTGTGTCTGCTACCTCTCCTTTTACCACCAATTTGCAGCAGTTGGGCACCGAGACCTTTTATTTATGAAGTCCCAAGTGCTATCCAATGCCTTAACCATGAGACCATTCTCCCTGTAAATTGCCAGCTAGATTCACATGCGGTCAGATTCTAGATGAGGATTTCTAGGATTGGATGAGGCCTAATTAGCACACACGATCGCCCTGCTGTTTCATGCAGCTGCAGTTAAACTGCACAACTAGCCATTTGCGTGTTCATTTGCCTGGATTGCATGTACGCACTTGAGAAAATTTGGCCCATAAAATCCACCCAGTGATCTCCTAGAAAGCAAGGTAACTAATCCAGGCCAGTGGGATGGGAGAGGCCCGCATTATATTCAGCCAGAGTTTTCCAAAATAAGTCCTTTAACGTTAAAAGCCTAAATCCTCATTTAGGCTCTTAAAAATCACGAGCCAGATTTTCAGGTGGGCTGAGCACCTAGCAGCTCCCTGTGATATTGGTGTCAGCTCTTAGGTGCTCGCTGTTCTTGAACATTTACCCAGTGATTTAGGAGAGACTTTAAGCCTCACCTTTGGAAATTTTGGCCCTAGTTCAGTGATACTCAGACCTCAGTGGTTCAGGAGCCAAATTAGCGATCAGCATTCCCCAAGAGAGCCACAGTCATGGGAATTCATTGTTTCATTTACTATAGTACTAGATATTCATATTTAAAACAGTATGACAGGGTAATAAAATATTTAGTTATATGTTCTCACAGCAAACAAGTTAATAACTTAGTGCAAGTTGATAACTTAATTGGTTAATAACATAGTAAAAGCCTCCTGATGGGTTAATAACTTTGACGGGTTAATAATTAAATCCCACCGTGTTTTCATGTCACGTGCAGCAAAGAGCGGCAGGGGACATGTTAAAGAGCCGCTTGCGCATCCCAGTCTGAGTATCACTGGAATAGCTCACGACAGGCGTGCGTATTGCGTAAAACATTATCAGTCCAAGAACAGATGTGGAGCGGCAGAGGGACATTCCGGGTTGCTGTAGTTCTTAAGTCAAAGAGTCAAATTGCAAGGTGTAGCTGACATCACGTGAACCAGGAAATAATCATTCTTGGAAGGGAGGTTGTGATGAGAGTTCTCTTCCATCGTTCATTGATGCCATTTTATGATGTTGGGCTATGGTTTGCTTGGGCCTCGTTGTTCACTATGTTGTTTGGAATTCCACTTCGGGAGCGCTCACTACAGACACAGCCAAAATTCTACTGTGTTCACCAAGGCCTGTGTTGGGGTGGTTTTAACCTTCCCTCTTGTACATGTAGCTGTTCTGTTTGCTCTGGACAGAAGGCCCCAAAATTGGCAAGTTCTGGCTAAAGAGAACAGGCATGTTGAGTACAAGAGGTTCACATTCATAAGTCCGCACATGATGTCATGGTGCACTAATTCTCAACATGATCTGACTTAGCTTTTCACTTGCATGTAGATTGTCTGTGGGCAGGATCACAGTCTGTTCAGGACGGAGAGAGGCGATGTTTACTCCTGTGGATGGGGAGCTGATGGACAAACAGGTAGGCCTTTCAGAAAAGTAGAAGCTGAGCTGAAGTTGCTGTGCAGAAAATCCAACAAGTGCTAGTAAAAGCTTGGAACAGTGTTTGCTCTGATCAACTGACTGGAAGACAGAATGTCAGATATTTAACAGTGGCAGCAAGTTGAGATAAGGTACATTGCAACTCACTTGTGTTAGAGGATGTTTTTGTCTTGCCAGCAAAACCTGTTTGAGAATATTTCAAGCCATTTATCTCCAGTGCATAGGTATGGGATTGCTGTATAGTGCTTGAAATAGTCATAGCGATCCCATCTCGATGTATTGGTGAGCCTTGACTTGAACCATGACATGCTTTTCTGTCCGCACATGCAAGATAAAAACATGTTCTGTATAGACAGTACTCTGCATGCTCATGTGAATGAGCCAAGCCTATTCCTTTTATTTCTTGGAGGATGGGAGCAATTAGAGAAGAAGTTTGAATGTCCCCTGGCCTTGCTGAGTTTTAGACCCTGTTTGACCTTGAAACTCCCCCCACATCCATGGTGACACGTGAGAAGTGGCAGTGGGGAAGGACTCTGGTTGGGGTGTGGCAGGTAGGTGTCCCCACCAGACCTTGATTGGAGTTGCTTACAGAGTCCTTCCTGTGTTTGGCACACAAGAGATTCTCCAAACAAACAAAAGCAAGGTCCGTTTCCCTCTCCTTCCCCTGAGAGAGGGAAAATCCACTCCTCTTTTTGGTCACCCCCACTTTGTACCTGGTCCATGCAGTCTCAGGGGCATCCAGGTCTGTGGCTGTCATCTTCTATGCTAATCTCCAGGCACAGCAAGGCTGACAGCTCGGTCTGGTCAGTGCTGGCTGAGCCCAGAAGAGTTCATTATCCACTTGAGTGAGTCTGTGCCCCCTCACCGGGAGGTCTGCGCCGATGTGGGGTTACCTATCCAGCTCTATATTGTCTTTACCTACTGCTGCTGTCCTTCTTCCAGACTCCTCCTCCTCTCCCCCCCCCCACATTTCCTGTTCCTGTTGCTCTTGACAACGGCCTTTACTGAGACCACCTTCCTGGCTGCTTTTGCTGTCCTAGGCAGGAAGCTTTGGCCAAGGTCCTTCTTCTTTCCCTCCTATTTGGCTGCATCATATTGCCTATTGCGTCCTCTTACTGCTCTCCCCAGTTTGTGTCCCCCTACTCCCAGACTAGCTTTCCATCTGGCCCCAGGCAGCCTGTCACCATATCAACCATCCTCTTCACCTTGCCCCACCTATGCTTGTGAAATATGTTGTGACCCAGCTGTGTTTCTGAGGGCACAGGAAACCTAACTGGTTTTAGGGACCCTATCTTAGCATGGGTCTCAGCTGGGTTTGAAAGAGCATTCACTAACACATCTGTCTGCACAGGCAAGATAAACCCATGTTCTAATATGGTGGGGGTCACAATATGTTTCACAGCCTTGATTAAACCTGGTTCTTTAGATAGTGTGGATTGTGTCTTAGCCGCTTCTGCAGAGCAGGACCGAACGTCTGCTAAGTAGATGTTGTCAAGTTTTTTTGCATCTTTTCATAAGTACACACACAGCATTAATCACAAGTGGTGTGTGAGCAGATTGTTCCACAGCAGGGGGAAAGGTCCCATAGGAGCCCTAGATATGCTGGCATGTGCATTAGCTCTGGAGCCTGCTGAGGTAAATGAAGACAGCGTGATGACCAGTCACGTCAAGTCCCAGGAGTTCTCATGCTGAGTCATTTTATTTTTGATCCAGTTCCTAGTCTCGTTCCTGAATTGTCCAGACCCATACTATCAAGAAGGCTTATTTACTTTTTTCTAGGCAATTGGTCGGTGTGATGTTGTGAGGAATGGGACTTCTGTGCAGTTAGTATTGTTTCAATGTGCTCAACCCACAGGACAGCTGAACAGGTCTCTCTCCCACTCTGTAGTGGAGTTAATTGACTCTGGAGGGAAACCTGATTGTTTGGTGACAGCAATGAAGGACCTTTAGGAGTGTAAAGTAGGGAGGGGAAGTGGTGAATGGGAGTATGCATGCTTTACATAATCCACTGTATGTTAGCCTCATTGTTTTTAACAGCCACCTCCAAAATACAGGGTGGCACGCATCAGTCTGAATTGTGAGCAGAAAGATTCCTCTGCGTTACATCGGAGCTGATAGTCACCAGTCAGGGAGTAGGAATTGGTTGGCTTTATAGCAGATAGAGGAAGAACTGCTGCAACACAATTTGCTCGGGATAGTTGTGTTAGTTCCCAATGCATGTTTTGGGGTGATAGGCCTCGGCTTGGATCATTAGGTACTAAGGTAAGAAATCAACTTGTTTGCTCAACATGAAACAAGAGTGTGGGGCTGGTACAAGAATGATTCACAACCGCCCAGTCATAATAAAAATATCACTGGGGGGCTCACCACTGTTGTCTTGAGATGGGTAAAGCATGGTGAGCCTTTTTTTAAATAGCCCCGTTGGCACCAAATCCTGGGAGATGTTGAGCATCAGCAACTCTTCCATAGATTAAGGCCAGAAGGGACTATTGTGATAATCTAAGTTTGGCCTCCTGCATAACACAGACCACAGGGCTTCCCTGAGTTAATTCCTGTTTAACCATCCTCTTAGATCAAGCATTTTAGTGTAGCATTAGCCTGCTCTGAAGTGCTCTGCTATTTATCTCCTCTACAGAGACAGATAGGATACCAAACTGTTTGATCTTTGTAATATACATGGTGGGCTCTTGAGCTGTGCCACCAAGCTGCTAGAACACAGGAGGCATGCATCAGTCAGATCTTGCTTTAGCTTTGAGATAACACATCCCCAGAAGCAGGTGCACTTTTTTCTTGTTGCTTCAAAAGATCCTGTCTTTGAATGACTGGCACCATGAGGCGCATGGTATCTACCTTTTTTCTAATATGAACAAGTACAGCATTTCATTACAGCACATCTCTCTCTCCCCTTATCAGGTCTTGGCCATTACAATATCACCAGCGTGCCCACCAAACTGGGCGGAGATATTGCTGGAGTAAATATCGTTCAGGTTGCCACCTATGGGGACAGCTGTCTGGCTGTATCTGATGAAGGAGATCTCTTTGGATGGGGAAACTCTGAATACATGCAGCTGGCTTCCATCACAGAGACGACACAGGTTAGGTTAGGTCGGATGTTCCATCTGCAACTCGCCTGCCAACCTTTGGGCACTATGTAAATAACTGTTCTGTACATGAAGCTATAAAGTAAGCACCTATTCCCTGCTCCAGGTGCCTTTGATAACACAATCACTGTAAAGTGACACAACTAGCAGTGTATCTTCACCCACAATTACTAAGTCCTACTGTCTGGGAATAATCGTATTGCTTGTATTCGTGTTTTGCCCTGAAAGCCCATGGTTTAGGGCTGTTTCAGGCCAAGCAAGGGAAGTATGTTCTAAAGTTGAGGGCCTGTGTCCTAGAGAAGGCCCTGCCAGCTTGCAAACCAAGGATGGTCTGACTGGAGTGCCTCTTCTGGCAGTAATCAGCCCCTCCAGTAGGTAGGTCACATGCCATTTAGGGCTTCACAGGAAAAAGAGCAACACCTTGAACTCCTCTCTGAAACCTAGTAGGCAGCCACAGAAGATGAGAACTCTGGAATCATGTGCTCAGTGCAGGATCCCTCTCAGAGGAGATAGATGGCCACATTCTGCTCTAGCTTCAGTCTCTCAGTGGATTTAAGGTGTAGCTCCACTTGTACTAAGTCCCCAAAGATAACAGCAGTGAGAGCTCTGGGCTTGAAGCAAATGATCTTTAACTTGTCCTGATCATTGCTGCTTCCTGGTCTGACTGGGAATCCAGCCACACCCCTCACATTGTGAACCGAATAACAAGTGGCAGATGGCCCCACTCAAAGGAGCCAATTTAATGTAGTTAAAATATTGTTTTTAAATACCTAAGTCTGTCAAATGAGTTGTGTCTCACTGGTCTTGAGTTTTCTGCAAAGCCCTGCTGTTGCTCTGTCCCAGAGGGAAAGTTGATTTAAAACTGCATCCAACTGGAAGGCTGTATGTTGGGAATTTCAACAGGAGTCGGGCACCTAATTCCCTCAGGCAATTCTGAAACTCCTAGCCATAAAGGGTAGAGAGACAGCCCAGGTAACTGCATTGCTTATAGTGGGCATGTTATACCTATAGGAGAACATATGAGGGCGTGGCTGTGTGGACCCAACTTCACTGAATATATTTTGGGGTGACTGAATGAATCTCACAGGGATTAGGGGGAGATTGATTTGGATCATTTTTGTGGTACACTTTGAAATCTGCAGATAGAGAAGTTCAAAGTGTTCAATTTACACTTTTTTTTTCTGTTTTATACTTGAGTTAGTCTGATGTCAGGGCTGATGGTTTCCTAGATGAACCTATATAGCCTATAGCATGCACAGACTCCTGATTAATAATACTTAAGCATGTTAAAATATAGCTGCCAAAACCCATTAAATGTGTAAAATAAATTAAGCTATGTTTTTATATATAACAGTGAAGTCCTTTTCAACATCCCATCATTAATTTTAAGGCAGGAAATAATAGTGTCAGTCTAATTCAGTACAAAGTCATCTCTTAAAATAGCCACATCTGATAACATCATAGCTTAATTTTGACACTGGCTTGCTGAAATCCCCACAGAAGATGAATTGGCACTTATTGCCTGCCACAGAGTGGGGAATTCTCCTCTGTCAGATTATAAACAATCGCTGCAGGGTGCCAGAAGCTCACAAAGATTTTTCATTATACCATGACTCAGTGGACCATAAAGGCTCATGGTGAATGTTTTATAAATCTCTTTTAAGTGGGGTAGGCAATCTGTAGTGTGGACAGTTGTGCTGTTAATCTGTAGTTTTTGAAAAATATTCCTTGTGCAAATAATGCAGTCCTTTAATTAACCTTTTTATTAAGGTTTGAGTCTACAGCAGAGACTGCAAAAAACAGACTAAGTCCAGACATGCAATTGCTTTTTAAAATTGAACTTGCTTCTCATGTACATGGGCTTTCTGCAGATGGCTTCTACAGAGACAAAGGTTTGCAGAAAGCTCAGCCTCAAAGTCATGGGTGTGGGGTGTATTTTGGCATCCAGTCAGGAAACTGACTTCTGAGGCAGTATACCCTAGTGCGGAGAGCACTAGACTAGGACTCAGGATACTTGGGTTCTGTTCCTGACTCTGCTACTCACCTGCTGGATGACTCTGGGCAAGGCATGTCCCTGCTCGCTGCCTCAGTTTCCCCATCTGTAAGATGGGGATGATGACACTGATCTTCTTTGAGACCTGGTGATAAAGAGTACTCTATTATATTGTGACCAAATACTTAGAACAGTTCAGTTTTTTAAAAGAATTCATCCATTTCAAATTTATTTGTAATCTGCTTTCAAATGCACAAGCAAAAAGTAATCTGACAAATTTAGCCGCATTCAAACTTATGGGATAAAAGGTGCAAGCTGCATCCATTCCTCCCTACTGGCTCAAACACAGCCTTCTACAAAAATCCCACAGGGTCATTTCACAAAAGTAAATTTCTTCTTAGAGCAAATGTTTATGGTAAATAGATTTGAAATGCTGACTCAAGGTAGAATGTGGCAATTAAGCAGATGTTTGCCTCGTTCATCAATATTCAGCTATATTTGAAGGAAAATTAAGAGCAGACCATCAAATTAATGCCATTTTAGTAAACTTTTAGTTTAGTTCCTTTTGCTAATCCTGATGTGTCCCCAGTTTAGGGCTAATTATCTAGTTTGGAAGGATGTTTTGAGATAATTAGTAGGTTAAATAGCATGGGGTCAGACTGTTCCAATATGAGGCTTCCTGGAGGGGATACTGAGAACGACTGGAAATGGGGTTAGATTGCTTGGTCACCAAAGATGTTGCCTTTGAGCCAAGTCTGAGTAATGACTGTTCTGGAAAAGGAAATGCTCAACTATCTGTAACATTCAGCATTCACACCCACTAAACTATAGGTTTTCCAGTGCCTTTTAAACTCCGTCACAAAAGGGCTACAGCCTATGGCCTTCTGGTCTCTCTTGTGATTGTTTGCAAACACCTGTTGAGCGGCTAGCTTCCTTGTCCTATCTAGTTCTTCAGCTCTGGAATGAATGGATTCCTTTAGGTGTGCACCCCTTAACATTCTTCAGTTTTGTAGTCCAAGGTGGATTTTTTCAGCTTTGCCACTTTCCCCAATCAGTTGTCTTCACCTTTGGCCTCATTCAGCTGAACACAGTTCATTTTCCTGCTGTGGGATCACATTCACCGTGACCTCAGTCCAGCAGATGGAGGAAGCATCCATAGTTTATGTAACCGCCTGAACAATCCTATAGATACAGGGGAGAAAGGTGACTTTTACAACAATAGACATTCTGTAGACATTGTTTACATTCTCTTTGTCCTAAGAGAAACTTCCAAAAACACCAGTGAATGTCCAGGTTCTCATCGCTGGCGTATGCATTCTCTGAGGTCAGAATTGTTTGTTTTTTCTCAATAGGTGAATGTTCCGAGGCACTTACCATTCAAGATTGGGAAGATAAAGGATGCTGCATGTGGAGGGACAGGCAATGCTGTTGTAAATGGTGAGTTCATTTTTGCTGTTGCAGGGCTCCCATTGGATTTAATAAGATGGGTGAGGAGACAGGCTGTTAGGAATGAAATACTTAGCCCTAGAAGTTGTTCCTGAAGGTCAGAGCTGAGGCATGTTGGCACAGGGAGCATGCACTGCTGTGTCGATATGATTTAATTCTCCCACGCTGTCCATCTGGCAGCTTTCACGAGTATTGAACTTGAAGAATTCTTTTTGAAGTCTCACACCAGAAAGAGAGCTGGCTAGTCACAAATCCAAGAGGGTAGGAATGCTGGGACATAAGTGTCTCTGTACCTTGGGCACTGTGGGCCTGTTCTCTCTCAGAGACAAACTGAAAACGCTCAGTTTTAATAATGCAGAGGCAGAACTACATTTGGGAAACATGATCCAAGGAAAATTGGCTTTGACGGCAAAGTTAGAGAGAATTCAAATGCAGGAAGGAGCCAAATGGAAACACATTGTGTTTTTTTTTTTAAATAGTCGGAATGACTTGCCAAGCCCAAAGAAAATAGCCATTTGGATCTAATTAGATTTCTGAGGCTGTATTAATTTCATAAGAGTGAATGTACTCACAGAATTTGTTTTTATTGTAATGCAGAAGGAGGAAATGTCTTTGTCTGGGGATATGGAATTCTTGGGAAAGGACCAAACCTGATGGAAACAGCAACTCCAGAAATGATCCCACCCACCCTCTTTGGCTTGTCAGACTTCAGTCCAGACACCCGTGTTTCTCGCATTCGCTGCGGACTCAGCCAATTTGCTGCACTTAACAGTAAGTTTCCAGGCCATGGATCAGTGGGGAAAGTGTCTTTTCAATTTGTTCCCCTTTTAAAATCTTACTGAGATGTTTGTTTCTAAAACACTCTTTAAATGTGAACCTCAAAAATACCATGCTGAAACAATGCAATGGCTTGGATCATGTTTTCAGTCAGACCATGTCAATGACAGATGACAGCCTGGCCTCTGTTGGTGATAAATTCCTAATCTGGGTTCAGTAAAACAGATCATAGATCATAGAATATCAGGGTTGGAAGGGACCTCAGGAGGTCATCTAGTCCAACCCCCTGCTCAAAGCAGGACCAATCCCCAATTTTTGCCCCAGATCCCTAAATGGACCCCTCAAGGATTGAACTCTCAACCCTGGGTTTAGCAGGCCAGTGCTCAAACCACTTAGCTATCCCTCCCCCCCAATCTGTGCCCCTTCCTTTTGCTTTCTAAATTGCAACCAGCCCAGATATGCAAGTTGAACTAACTAACCTAGTGTCTGAAGCAGAAAAACCATGGCATTACAGTGCAAATACTGACTTGACAATCTTAGCGGCACTCTTAGGGCAGCTGTAACTATAATACATCAAGATTGTATGTGAAGAAAATAACTGGAGTCTGACAATGCCCAGCAGAGGGCAGCACCATGGAAAGCTGAAGTAGGTACTCTATCTCAAGAGTAAAAGCTTCCCTCAATGATAGGTAAAATAATGTTGGAATTGAGCTGTAGCCAAATGGGAAGGATTAGAGAACATTTACCCCATCTCCTTGAAGTGACTTTCCATAATGGTGGAGGCACATTGACCCAAGAAATGGAGAGCGTATGTCATTGTACCAAGGTGGATAAAGTGCTCGTCCATGCACACAGGCTGTACTGTTCTTACTGCCCACTATAGTCAGAGCAGTGTAGGGTGCTTTATACTGGTGTTTCCAGGCTCATACGGGAATAGCTATATACCAGTAGAACTGTGTCCCTGCAGGGACGATTTCCTCTCTTTCAGTTAAAAAAAAAAAAAAATCTCACCCCCTGCTGAAACAAACAGTTAGGCCTTGTCTACCCAGAGTTCTTTCATTGGTATAAATCATTTTTGAAATTGGGACTCAAGTAAAATGTTTAAGAGCACCTCCAGTGACTGAGAAGCCTAAGACCTCTCCAGATGTACTGAATGCAGTTTTGCCCTACCCTGATTGGAAGCCACCACTCTATCAGATGTGGAGTGGTGGCTTTCACTATCTTTGCTTATCTGGCTCACTGTGTGCTCTGACGCATGAAGTTAAACATCTTGAAAGTCACATCGCTGCTCCTGCTTTGACTCTAGATGGAGGATGTTGAACCTGAGTTTTGAAAATGAACACCTGGAGCTTCCACTGACTTCAGAACTTTCTGGTGGACTCTGTTCCTTTAAACAAAATCCTGCACTTTGGGTGGAGGAGAAAAGATTCAGACCAAAAACTTCTTGTTTGCTTCTGTTCCCTGAGCGCTTCTGTGAAGACAACATTGCTCTATCAAGTGTTCTCTTAACTAAACTTACAGGACCTACTGGTGATTGACTAGAAGGCCATACCTCCATAAGCAGCATAGCTGCAACCCCTTTCCTTGTACATAAAATTACTTAGTTCATAGGCAATCTGACCTGGGTTTTTTGCTTGTTGCAGACAGAGGAGAGCTGTTTGTGTGGGGCAAGAATATAAGGGGGTGCCTGGGGATTGGAAGAATGGAAGACCAGTATTTCCCATGGAGGGTAAGTACACAGCATTCAAGCACAAACATGCCCTGTATTTAGTGTATTGTATAACAAAGAGGAGTGAGGTCTCACCCACTCACTAGGCCTAGTTGTTGATTTTGGCACTGAAAGTAACATGAAAACTTCAAATGCAAGATGGTCTTATCACTTCCTCCTTGGACTTCCTGACCAGAAGGGATGGAGTTGGGTCAGAGCTAGATGTTGTCTCCAGTATTGTTCTGGCATTTTATAATTAGCCTATACTGAACCAGGAGAACTGAGAGACTTGGGCTCTAGTTAAGTGTTCTGTATACCAAGTGTCAGAGCCCAAGCCCTGTCCAGCATCTGTTGTGTTCACTAAGATTATGTCAAACTTCATTTAAATTAAAGAAGAAAAATCCCCACACCTATGTTCATGGAGCATTGAGTTTGAAAGTGTCCGCACCTTTCAGACAAGATTTTCATATATTTTGGGGGCCAAGCTATCACCCTCTCTGGCACAACTGTCTAACTTAATTGCCTGAATTCTCAACTTTCATGTCACAGGCACATAAAACATCCTTTTTAAAAAGGGAGAGAAGGAAAAAACATTAAAGCAGGGGCAATTTCATACAGAAGTGTAGTTTATCAAAGTTGTGAATACTTCTTCCTCATTTATTTAGTTAAGATTTGCTAAATTAAACTTAGTGAATTAAAAGGCACAAATGCCAAGTGCATAAATTTTAACTATCCCATTTCTCCGTGGACATAGCTACTAGGAAAGTAGATGGCAGTGGTGTGTCCATTTAAAATGGTCAGGAATCTTAGGGTGCAATGCACCTTACTGTTCTTTTAAAAGAGCAGCAGCATGAGCTCCCATAGGGCACCATATATAGTGTAGAGGATCTGTTACCCTTCGTGGCTGGTTGCCTTTTCCACCACCTAGCAGCTATTTCAGTCCTCCATTGAGGACTACACATTTGAAATGCTAGTGTTCAGCTGTTCTTAAAGACCTCAGTGTAACTTAATGACTAACCTGTTCATGCTCCCAGTTCAAAAATCCACCCTTGTCCTTGAACTGAGACCAAACGTGAAGCATCTCCCAGGCTTTAACAAATCATCTTGCTGAGTCAGTGCTGCTTTCTGAACAGATGGGCTGGGGCTACAATCCCCTGCATTTCCTAACAGATCAGTACATGAGCATGCACTGGGCTTTTCAGCATGTTGATGAATTCTGTAGGGTTGGCTGTTTCTGTGCTTTTTTTTCTTTTTTGCCTGCAGTTGGAGCTGATGGAGATTAGACTGAAGAAACATCACCAAGGTGTTCTAAAGGCTTGCACTTTAAAAGGCGCTCAGCCTGGCTGGTATGGGTGTGTGCACATAAGTGGCAGAAAGAGCCTGAAAGCAAATTTTTTTTTCTTTTCAGGTGACAGTCCCAGGTGAGGTAGTTGATGTGGCTTGTGGAGTTGATCATATGGTAACTCTGGTTAAATCATTTATCTAGCAGCTGTGCTGTACCTCAGCTACACATTGGGAACGGATGGTAAAAGATGCACCCATGACGGCTCTTTCAGGAAGGAGAACCCTTTGTGCTCATGTTCAGTGGATATAATATGGCACTGACTGCACGCACTTGGCGTGTGAAGAACCACGGCTATGCTTGGAACTTTAACTGTTTCTCCAGAGCCTCCAGTGACTCTTTGGGAGGAACGTAAGGCTCTCTCCCATAGGGATGTGCATATCAAACACTTTTAATGGGCTGCTGAAAAGATTCCAACTGTCCTGCTGCCAAACTCCCAGGCAGCAATACTCTGATGCCCATTTTACTGTGTTCCTCCATAAGGAAATTGCAGGATGTAACGCTATGTGCACTTACTTGTACACATGGCAGTAGAACTTTAAACGCCACTGCGAGGGCGTGATGGTCTTCTCAACCATGTTTCTGAAAGGGAAAGTTATAGTATGGGCTGAAATAAATATATGCTAATACACCCTGGCAGAACTGTTTTTCAGCAATATTACCAGTCATACAGTGTTTGAGCCAATGTCTTGTGAGTTACACTGGAAGCAGAGCTGCACTATGCAGTTTCACTCACCTGCCCCAAAGAGCTTACAGAGCTCCCCTCTCAATTATACTGAAAAATGGAGTAGATGAAGGCAGAGCCCTGTGCAGGTAGATAAGAGTGCCTTCCTCCAGAGAGTGGGATCCCCTGCCCATGTGATTTATATGCTGCAGTGTGGGGTGAAAGTGAAATGAGGAGTGATCTACATTAATTTATACCTTGTCTGCACTACAGCAGCACAGGTATGATGCTTAAGCGGGTTCAGGATGAGTGTAGTTGTTCTAACTCCTCCTACTCATCTCATGGGATGCTGCCTTTTACCCCAGACCCTAACATGCATCTCCACGCAGAACTGCTGCAATGGGTGCTAACTATACACTGCCTTTGCCCTCCCCCCCAGTTGGAGTGACAGGAACCTAAATAGATGGTGAGATTTCCAAAAGTGTTTACCTCCTGACTAGAGACTCCTGTTTTTGAAAATCTAGGTCCAGAGGGAGAAGATGGCAGTGAAATCACAAATGTAATGGAATAGAGTGGATTTGGGAAGCTTGGTAGAAGTATCTTTGCAGAAGCCCAGGTGTGAGGGTAGCAGAGACACAACCTTTGTACCTCTGGATATGCTAGAGGGCACACCAGACCGAGAGGAAGGTGGCAGGGCATGACATCAGTGAGCGCCGCAGTCCCTTCTGCAACTGGCGGGTCCTGTCTCCACCCTACCCACGATGTAACCCTTCAGGCAATTGCCAGTAAACAACCATGCATCTGTCCATCCAGCTAGCGCTCATATCTAAGCTACTCTCCCCAGCTCCAGTTTTTATGGGGATGCTGACTGCTCATGTGCTTTGATGCCATTCAACCCTGTCAGCATGGACTCCACATACTTCCAAATGCCTGCTAGTGTCCAACATACACCAACCTTCCCTCTTTGTACATGACCTCAAAGAGCTGCACTGCAGTTGTTTAGCCAACAGCATCAGCCTCTCAGTTCTTTGTGGATAAACAGAGACCAGCAGCAAGGCATAAATAGCTGATTTCATGAAGCCCCTCCAATGGGGATACTCACCATGTTCTAGTCCTTCAGTGGCAGCCAACCAAAAGGTGGCACAGTTAGGAAACATGAAGAACAACAGATACTGCCATCTCCAAGGGGGGTAAAAATCCTAGAGGGGAATAAGACATTATTACAGGAATAGGTTTGAGAGGGACAAGAACCAGCATTCTCTCTTTTTATTAGTAGATAACTCATAGTCTTTAAGGTCAGAAGGGGCCATCAAGACACTATTGTAACATAACTGTAATAGTAGTAGATCATAGTACCTAAGAGTTGCAGTCATGAATCAGGATTCCTATGTGCTGTACTAAAAGACACTCTACATCTAAGACCAGAGGAAGACAACAGACTGACAAGGTAACAGTATTGGGCAGCATGATAGGAGGGGTCTCAGCACACAGTTGCTGTAGTGTCCCAGCACCACAGGGAGCTCTCAGAAAGAGTTGCAGAAGGTTACTGCTATATTTAATTAACATTTCCTCTCACCTTGGTAGGAAAACATGGCTTTACCATTCTTGAATGGTAATGAAGCTTCAGGCAATCAAGACATTTTCAGCTGGGAGTTCAAAGGAGCTTAAATTAATTAGGTGCTCAGCTCCCATTGCAAGTCAATGGGAGTTTTAATGACAGATTCCCATAGGAGCTTTCATACTAGACTACAGCAGTGTATTCATGCTGCTGGTGTGCTGGTAGGGTCCCATTATCCAGTTTATTCCTCTGAAACCTGTCATTATCCAGTTTATAATCCACAACAAAACTTTGCCTCCTACTCATGTGGAGTTATTTAAATATCTTCCTTAGTGAGCCGTCATAATGATGAAAGGTTTTGGAAACTTCAGGTACATGAGTCTCTATTTATTCTTTTCAGTTAAATGCTTTAACAAGTTTAGAGAGGCACAGGTTTGATCCAGAAACGGTATTAAGGTCGTGTTAATCCAACACTCCATCAGTGCTATTGAATTAAATAAGAAAAGCAAGATGATGAGTATTTTTCAGTATAATTTTTTATAGAGAGGGGAGCTCTGGTTAGCTCTTTGGGGCAGGAACAGTGTACGCTTATACGCCATGACTGGGACTCCTAAACGCTATGGTAATACAAATAAAAAATAATATAGGGTGGTTCAAGTTTTCAAGAGAGACTAAGCTCCATTGAAAGTCACTGGGTTTTAGGCTTCTAGGTCATTTAGGTACTTTTGAAAGTTTTACCCATTGTGTCCACACTTGACTTTTCAGTCATGTTTTAACACAAGTGTAGACACACGTTTATTGCTAGTCATAGCTAACAGTGGGCTGTTTGAATTAGGGTTACTAACAAACATGCTATGCTCCTAAAATCCCCAGTATGTTCAAGAGGATTTGCTATCCACTTACTTGTAAGGAGCGTTAAGCTGCAGTCTGTGGTTAAACTCAACAAGCAATGAACGTTTTCATCCTAGCACTAACTTTGGTGGTCCAGCTACACTAGAATTCACACTTGCGTGAATTAACCACTACTGAAAATTCAAGCGTAGACAAATCCTTACAGCTTCCCCCATCAAAAATCCAGCAATCACTATCTGAAATACCTCAGTTACTTCCTTTTCTAAATATAGGGAAACACTGCAGTCTCCCAGATACCCCTCCATAGTAACTGGGGTTGCTTTTGTTCCCTGTACGTTCATAGATAGCTCTATTCAGGCTGAAGAGTGTCACTGCACTTTGCGAATGAATTGCTGTGCAAACGATATGGGAGGGTCATTTCCCTCACTGCTGAAATGCAGCCCGCTCTGGGTTCAAACAGGGAACTCTTAACAGTGTGCAGCAACAGTACGCAACAGGTCAGGACGGGAAGCAGGCAGACTAATACATGTTATTGCGACTACAGGGAAATTTAGGAAGGCAGTGTTAACATTTAGGCAGGATGCCCGGACGAACAAGCTTTCCTTTTTGGATCTTTAATGAGCGCAAGTGGCCCAGAACTTACCTTAAGCCATAACAAGATCTTTTCATTAAGGGGTCCCTCTTTAACCTGGATTTTAAAATTTCTCTCTCGCCCACTAGCTGGTTGTAACCCTAGCAGGCAAAGAACAGACTTCCTTACTCCCCTCCCTTTACTGAAAACAAACAAGGAGTTAAACAGATCAGCTTATAAGACGGCAGGAGCGTCCAAGCACCAAGCCAACATTCAGATGTGAGCACACAAAGCAACAGTATACAGCCAAGGTCTCTCTATCTAAGCTTGCAGTGCCGTTCCAGCCTCTTTACTGTCTACCTAGACCAGCTTCCTAAGTGCCAGAAAGGGAACTGGCTGGGCCAGGATCTGCATTTCCTAGGTCACTTGCTCATCGTGCTGGTGTCTTGTACTGATGGGAGCGTGAAACAGCAGTGACAGCCGCGCTGGGGAAACACTGAAGCTTTCTATTCTGCCTGCTGGGGAAATAAATCTGAGTGACAGGAGGTTACCCCCGAGTGGAAGGTAGCTTGAGTCCTCATTTGCAATACCTTGTTTTCTAATTAACGGCACCATGCTGTGAATATTGAAATGCAGGTGAGGAAAGGAGAGTCCTGGTTGGAGGCTGATGTGTGAAGGATCATCGGCAGCCCAACTCCAGGTGTGGGGAGGATGTAAATACACTGTTTTATAGCTTTGTGAGACAGGCAGGGACAGCTGCCAGTGAACCGGAACATCTATATTTGGAGCCTTCAAGCTCACTCTGTAAAATCCAAAGGCATGTTACTAACGGAGCTGGGTTCCCAGGACAACTGCTCGCCTGAACAGTCAAGGCTTGGGGGATATTGCTAGAGCAATAAGTGGCAGACTGTGAAGTTAGTCAGACAGCACAACAGCAATGGGAGATTGGACATTTTGGCCAAAGACATCTTGACAACCCCCTTTTCTTAGGGGACATGCCATAGAATCCCCCATGGCAACAAAGTCAATGCAAAGTGGGTGCCCCATGCCCCTGAAATTTTTCCTCCTCCGCATCCCACACAGTGCAGACAAGGCTTTGGTTTTTAAGGGCTCATCTAATACCACCCCATACAGCAAAACACATGGATCTCCATTTATGAAGGGTGGAGGGGATGCTGCCAGGATTTCAACCCATTGCACTAAGTCTAACACGTGTGCCGATATCTTAGGACACAGCACCTTAAACAGACCTCTGATGTTCCCCAGGCCACTGCCCAGCTCTGCTTCCGCTAGCGAGTGCAGAGACTTGTATAAAAAAGACATGCAGATACTCACTAGAACGATGGAACAGTTTGCTGTTGGAAAATGCAGTTTTGCTGAAATCAGGGGACTGTGTTGATTTCGATAACATTCTTGATGGGAAATTTTTGAAACAACATTGAAACATTTCATTTCGATATGGTAAAAGCATTTTGTTTAGATTTATTTCAATTCTACTTTTATACCATATTGAGTTTAATATAATGTTTCCCCTCCCAAGCTGGAGGTCAGCGCAAACCTTTGCACACTGGTATTTCTGGCATGTCCACACTTCTCAAGTACATCTGCAAAAGGGGAGGGGAGAAAGGGCCAGCCCTGGAAATCAGAGCATGCCCCAGGAAGAGCCATGCAGTTTGCTCTGGGAGCAGTACAGCAAAGCCAGGCCGGCTGGAATTCCAGGATAGGGATGATAGGACATTTCACATAAGAAATGCAAAACTGAGCTCCTTGCACGGGGACAGGTCATCCTTAGTATCACCGATTATAATAACTGCTGGCACCACAAATTTCTGCTCTAGATTCAAACTTTCCCAAGGACAGGGGTGTCTGGATCAAGGCCTGTTTCCAGTGGTCAATAACAGCCACACTTACAGCATTGGAGACAGTGCATAATATATCCTCACCCTTGTGATGGAGGTAAATATCCGTATATTGCAAATAGAGA